AAAAATGTTTTTTTTGGATGTATTTATAGCAAAAAAAAAACACATTTTTTTTTTTGGATGTATTTATAGCAAAAGGATGTATTTATTGCAAAAAAATGTATTTATCGGGCCGAAGCTATCAAAAACTTCAAAACAATATTTTAACAAATAAATTTTTTTTTGCTACAGTCAAATTGAAAAAAATGAAAATATATTCTGTTATAAATTCTAATATATTCTTATATATATTATGGGGCGGATTTGAACCTTCGCATAATGCCACCATTAAACCACTGAGCTACCGAAGTTATGTATGTCAATGAAAAACAAACAACTTTATAACTCTTATAAAGATTGGAATTAATCAACACTTTTTAAGTTCTTTTAAATTAGCGAAGCTTTATTGAATAGCAATAATGTAGCTCTCACACCTAAACAATATATATATATATATATATATATATATAAACAAATATGTTATATGCAAATGTAAAAAACTACTTAAATAACGTTATATACAGGACAGTGTGTAATATAAGAAAACTTTTCTATTAATTTCAAGTCTTTTTTTGGTTAAATTGTTTTGTTTTGAATTTTTTCAAAACAAAACAGTTTAACCAAAAAAAGGCTAGTGTTTATTGCAGAAAAAACAGATAAAAATAACTTATTATGACATTGGGTCCTCATTTGCTTTGCAAAAAAATATACTCTTAATGAAGGGGTTGAGATTTTATAACAGACTTGATTTTTAAAAATCACTATCAGAAATGTCTTGTAATAGTCATATATGATTAAATTATTTATGTTAAGTATTTACATATTGTTTGTTTAATCTGAGCACCTTTTTTTGTTGTTGTTGTTTTTTGTTATTTAGGTCCCCCAAGAAGACCTAACGGTCTTGTCACAGAGCACCGCGGAAGTGCATTTAACCAGGAAGTTAACGCCTCCTTCCTTACCGTGACGCAAAAATATGTTCAAAGCTCGTTTCGAACCTGGATCTCTTGCTTATAAAGCAAGCGCTCTAACCACGACACGGCCGCACAACCTAACTAGTCCAGTCATTTTTAGCAAAAATAACCCCATTACCCGGAAAAAAATTCTAAATAAGCTGAAATTTGGCACATGCTCTCGTAATATCATATAGTAACACCAAAAAAAAAAACCCGTCGATAGCCCTTGGGGAAAATGAGTTATTGACATTTTCCATAATGCTGAATTTCACTTTTATGTTTTATCGTCAGAAAATAGGTTTATACTAAGATCAAATTAAATATAAAATTTTACAATTTTAAATTTAGATAAATCTAAAAAAGGGCAACAATTAAAAGTTAAATTAAAAGTTAAAAGATGTTAAAAATATTTCGTTCAAATACTTCTTCGTTGCCGCTTTCGTCACTTTTGTCTTCGTCCTCGCTCGACTGTATGACTTGTTCCTAAAATAAGATGGATAAAGAATTGGTAATAAATTAATTAACGCCTTCTTTGACACATTTTTATTATATTAATATGGTAATGTAGTATATTTTTGTTGTAGTTTATATGACCACAAGCAGCAAAAAGATTTAGCATTTCTAGCGTCATCTGTATAACTAGATTCCAGTTTGATGTTCTTCCTGCAACAATGTAACGTTTTATCAAATGTAATATCGGTAAAAAAGCCAAAGCTAGATTTTTGTTCAATGTCATTAATTTTATCTGCTAATTATTGCTTAATTTTAACCATCGTTTCAGATTCTCAAAAGTTGTTATTGGAATAGTCTATCGTCTCTATGTTTTAATAATTCTTCGATTATTGATCTATCTGTACCTTGATCTTGGAATTCAATTTCCTCAAAAAGTATTTACGTCATGCATAAGTTTGTTAGTAGGTGAGCTCGCAAAGCTCTTGAAACAGCTTTTCCAGAGATTATATGGTCTACACTGCTTTCTGCATATACTTGAGCAAAAAGTTCTTCTAAACCAGACCCTTTCATAAGTTTCCCAACAGCACCCAGAAAGCTCATTATTGTCTGAAAACCTCCAAGTCTGGCTACAACTGGCAACTTTGATTCCTCTATGATTTCTATAGCTTTTAGCCACAATGGTTGGTCAAATGTGACACAGGGCACTTTAATTTTCATTGTTTTTAGCTTGGTTGATGATAAATATTAATGTTGAGAAGATGCAATGTTCATCATTCGGATTCAAATCTATTATTGGAAGGAATGATATTGTTGACTTTGGAAAAGCTACATTTCTTTGGGTTAGATCTTGCATAAATCCGGACCAGTTTAGTGTTGGTTTGGAAATATCTTGAAAAATCTTTAAAGAATACCACAAAAGGTTGTACGACAGTTCTGTAGGAAAAACCAGAGGATTTTTGAATTCGAAAACTGGTTTCAAAGTAATTTGTGTAAAACCTTTTACATACGTACTGTTATTTTGGTGGATTGGGATGTTGTGTTTATTTGTGATTTAAGGTATTTTTCAGGTAAACTTTAATTCGATCAACTTTTTGTGTTGCAGGGCATAGGAGTTTGTCTGACAGGGATACTATTCCCATTCCGTGGAAAGTTCCTTTCCCAGTCAAAGTTATAAGATTATGATCTACGTTGTCAGCTTACCACTGACAAAACGTTGGTTGATTGTCTTCTTCATTACCGCTGATTGCTTGTAGCGCAGAACCTCGCCCGGAGAAATAGAAAAGCCTAGTTTTCCGAGATGATTTACCAACCATTTGGATCCGAATTCCTTATTAAGCTGTATTCCAATGTCAAAGGGTATAGGACAGATCAGCGACCAGTTTCTCGCAGCATACGTTATGCATTGACCAATCGAAACTTGCTTAATTTTGTTAGGAATAAGTAAACTTAATAACATCTGAAGGGATTCAGGTATCCATTGTTTCTGACAATCCAAGTTTCTGATATCTTCAGTAATTGGATAGAAATTGTTTGATTTCTGAATTTCACGAATTTCAGCTTTGATTATTTTGGCAGCTGCTGTGATAATAAATTCTTTACTCTGCTCGCTATTTTTGCTTTGTTTCGCCCGAAATATAATTAGAAAATTCTTTGAAACATATAACATTTTATCGACCAGCCGTTTGAGAAAAATAATTGCATCTCCGTAGCGGTGAATAAATTGTTGTATCCTTTGTTTTAAACTGCTCGATCAGTTCTTTCATTGTGTACAACTCACTGTCATCATCTTCCTCTAACCATTGACATATTTTTTCAAACATAGAACTTTAACAGTTATCGACTGGCCTTCCAATAGAGGTATTTCATTTTTTCTCATAAAGGAGAACGCCAGAAAGGCATGAAGGATAATATATTTCTTCTTCTGCAACAAGGTCGTTGCCTGAATAAAGGCGTCTCTTTAAGTTGTCTCCAGTTTTATCAGGTCTTTGAGCCACGCATTTAATTAGGTTTTCTTTTAGTTCCAGTGTAATAATAATTGACAAAAATAAAAATAAACACAAACTTTATTAAAATATTCGAATCACTTTTAGATTCGAATGTTTTACTCAAGTTGTAGATTTTCTGCACATTTATTCCAAAAATCAAACCTTCTTTCTATGAGTTACCAATGATATTTTAATAGTAATCTTTATTTTATTATTTTGTTATTGTAATTTTAAATAGTGAATTGTTAATTCACTATTTTAAATTTCTCAAAATTTAAAATCAAAATCGTTTTTAATGTGATATTTTTATAAACCTATTTTCTGACGTTAAAACAGAAAATGAAATTGAGCATTATGGAGAAATGTCATTAACTCGTTTTCCCCAAAGGCTAACAACGGGGTTTTTTTTTGGTGTTACTATATGATATTACAAGAGTATATACCAAATTTCAGCTTATTTAGAATTTTTTCCCGGTAATGACTGGGCTAAGACAAAACTCAAAAGTTATACGCAGAATTGATAGAGACAAACTAAATAAATTTTTGTTTCAAAAGGAGCATTTATAAATTAAATTGTGAGTTTAAAATAAATAAAAAACTAGATAGATCTGAAAATACTTTTAAACTATCTACAAAAACCTAAACACTTTGGGGAAAAAATACTGTTCGTAAAGTTCCAAATTTTCAGTTATAGGCTATCAAAACCTTTGTTACAAAAGGACCTATCGCTCCTTAAAGTTTTTTTTAAGTACCGTACCTGGTCTTTAACGCTTTCCATTTTTTACGATATACAAGATTTGTAATGCAGCTATTTGAATAAACCTGATAAACCGCCTCACGTTCTCTATACATGCTCAAAATCACGTCTCAAAATTTCTTTTAATTTACTTTTTTAAATTAGAAAAAAAAAAAAAAAAAATTAAATAAACATAAAATACGAGACAACATACAAAATTGATTTTATAAGTTAATTTATAATATCTGTACCTCAGAGATCAACTATCGCAACTCGCATTTGACAAATTTTACAGGAGAGCCAAATGAAGTTATTACACTTCTTTTAAACCTCCAGGTTTCTAACTTTCTGTAACGCCCACGCTTACGATATTTTACCACTAAAACAAGGCGGTCTCCCTGTGACAGTTAAGATAAAAACCTGAAAATCAGCAATTTTGCAGTTAAGATAGTTGACCACTGGGATACAGATATACTTTAATTAAATCTATACTTTGATGTTTAAAGTAAGAAATTAATTTAGTTGAAGACATAAGTGGATGAGAGGTTTATATTACTCGAATATTAAACTGAGATATCTAGAATTAAAGTTATGAACACATTTTGTTCTAGGTACTTTCTATAGCAAAGTTATGTAAATATTTATGGTGTATTACAGTAATCAAAACACCATTATTATTCCACGGATTTATCCTTAATAAAAATTAAAAAAAATTTTTTTTTTTATTTATATTAAGGATAAATCCGTAAGAAAAAAAATTTTAAAAAAAATCCGCTAAAATAACTATTTTTAAAACTTTTGATATCCATACTTGGGGTGATACGTGTCGAACTCGGGGTGCCTACTCCAAGTTCTGTACCCCGAGCCCGGTTTTGCGTAAAAATCAAACTCAGAGCGGAACATTATTAATGGATGAGTGTATTTATGTCCCTTAATACCTACACCTATATAGTTTATTGTTGTGAGTAAATTGATGTTTAAAATAACTTTACTGTGGAAAATCATCCACTGTGGAAATGGTATTTTAGCACATTTTTGTGCGGAGTTATTATTCATGCGAAAGAACGTTATTTAAGACCATTCTCTGTATAAAAACTTTTGAAAGCGACTTTATCGACTTGTCTTCAATTTGTTCTTAATAAGTGTGCAGATAATCGTCTTTTTATTACGCGTCAGTGATTTTAAATCAATTAATCTTGTAACTGATTATTGAGCGAAGAAATAATGTCTTTTACTTCGAGTAATAAAAAACGCTAACTTCCACATAGGTCGTCAACACCGTGTGCATAAGAACATTGCTGACTCGACAATACGCAGCCTTGAGGATGTTCATTAAAAAACCAACACAGTTTGGACTTAAAAGATTTTGTATCCTTTTTTTTAGACAAAGACTTTTTTGAACTTTTTAAATCTTCAACACAGCGATAATCTCGAATAGATACATTACCATTAACAACTAAAGAAAGACAGAGATAAAAATTAAAATACTCTTTCCAATTAAATTACTACTTTATTTCAAAAATTAAAATACTCTTTCATCTAATAATGAATAATTATTTTTAATTATTTAAACTTTAGAACTCTTTATAAAAAAAATTGACATTTTCCCACTCATTCCAGTAGATTGACTCGAGATGAATCTTTATAAAACTGCAAAACTTCCTGAAAATAAGACACCTAATTTAATTTGATCTTTGAAGCCCCAAGTTAATTTTTGATGAAATTTATTTTTGATCTTATTTAAAATGGAACCATTTTTTTTCAAAACCAATCACTTTCACCCATAGCCGTCTGTACTAACAGGTATCGTAATATTGGGGCATAGGATTTACAATACTTCTAAAGTTATTTTGTATTAATAATTGCAAGCAACGTCTTTACTAATTTTTAAATTAAAGTGCAACTATTATCTAGTTTATAGATACAAAAAATGCCTAAAATATATAACCGTAATGTTACTTAAGAAAAATAAAAAAGTTATTTAAAATAAACAAGACAATATACCCGACAGTCTAGATACATTTGTTTGAAAGCCACTTACCATCTGGATATCTAACAGTAACAAATTTGGCTATAAAAGGCCTCGGTATTCTTATTCCAGTATTCACGTGTCAAACCAAGTTTAATAACTACTCTTCCACCGCCGCACAGTGAGTCAAAAATCATAAAAAACGGCAAAAAAAAACACCCATAAAAAACTATTGCTGGAAAATAATTAAATTATGTAACTAAATACCATTTAAAGACAAAAATTAATTTCTTTGTGAATAATTTTTAAAATTTCACTAATTTATACGCATTTTTCCGAGACTTATTTACTTTATTTTATATATAGGAAAACTCGTTCAAAAAAGTCTCGCTTTAGTGTGACTCTTTTAAGATTGATATAGGTAAAAACAATTCAAAATTCAATTTGAAGTCATATGTTTAAGATGTTTGGTAACTATTAACAACATTTTTGACAATAAATTTTAATTTTAGATTTTAATTCAAATTATAATCTAAATTATAATCAAATAATAATCATGAGTTTAATTCAAAAACTAAAAGATTCCACTAAATTCCATGATAGTTTTAATATTTTCCCATTAATAGGTATATATGAAAGCAGAAAAAATAAAAATCATTTGCCCCAATTAAAATAAGACCTTTTAAATACTTCATTGTTTTTTTTCCTTTTTTAATTTTATTGTTCGCTACTTAATACTTGCGTATAAAGTGGCGAACAATAGTTCATTGCTTACATTCATCACATAATTAATACATGTAGTTCCTACTAGTATAAAAACTGATGCTCAAGCAGATGGTGCTAATTATCAAACCTCCAGGGGTGTGGTTGCTGTAAAAGGCCCATGCGGGATTTTATAAAAAAAGCCTAAATATCGGGATTTTACCATATGTAAAAACGATATCTAACCGTCATTTTGACCGACCCATATTTTGTGTGTATTTATTTTATAATTATTTTGTTGCTTCAAAATTATTAATAAATTTCAGTTGTGTATGTATAAAACTTCATTATTTGAACTTTTTTATTTTTTATACAAAACAGAAAATGAAGCTACGTTAATAAAATACGTCATTTTTTTGAGCTTGAAAGACGCCAAAGCATTAAAAATTTTTTGAATTTAACTGCCCGGTTTTTATAATTTATATTAAAACGTTGCATTTAATTATTATTTTAAATTTACATTCCATTATTTGTTTTATTTTTTGTCTGATGTCTTTTATAAATTTTTTTCGAATTTTCAGCTTTCAAAACCCCTTTTAAATTTGTTTTATATAAAACTATAACGTAATAGTTTTTAATGCTTATAGAAACCAGTATTGTTTATTACACTATTAAATTTGAGTCACGTAACGTTTGTTTTCGCGTCAAAGTTTTTCGCTATTAAAAGTGTTTATAAAAGTAATCATAGAAAAAGTTTTAAAAGGTTTATTAAAAAATGCATTATATATTTTTTAAAAAATTAATTTAAAAATAAGTTTTATATAAATGTCATATTTATATAAAAGTAATTATAATATACTTTGATAACTAAATAAAATGGTATCATTGTAAACAATTATTAAAATTAATTTGATACTTTATTTAACAAAGTAATAATTAAACGTAATTATTTATGTATTTAATATATTTACAAGCATTTCGCATATTATGATATTTTTTAAAAAACGTAATATATTTCTGTTTCCAATTTTGTTTTTAAATATATTTTCCTTTCCAATTTTAGTTTTTTGAGCTTAAATCTTTTTCTTCAAAATCTAATTTTTCAATAATAAATACTTCAAGAATAAATATTTCTTATGATTGCATTTCTTTAGATTTATCATGTCTGCCAAACTTTAGTATTTACCGGACAACTTCTACGGAACAATAAAGTTAATGATTCGGTTGATTTCTTTAAAATACAATTTTGCTGCCAAGTGATTGTAATCAAATACGATTTTTATTGTTTGAAAAATAGTTATTAAAACAAAATTAAAAAATCAAAGATTTTAGTTTTGTAATGAAACATAATATAAATTGTATTAAATTAAAATAATAAATAAACTTTTTTTTCTTAAATAACAAGAAATTGTTTTGTATAGATAGTTAACGCTTTTGTTTAATTCTGCATTTTAATTAGCATTTTTGCAAAGCTTTAACGCTAATACCTTAAATATAAAAAGTTTTATTTAGTTTTATCAGAGCAAGGGTATGCTTAGTCATACTCTGACAAGGATATTAACTTTTACGGAATGCCAAGACTATGAGAATGTTTGCTAAAAATATTATCTCTGAGAATGTTTGCTAAAAATATTTAAAAGTTTTATTTTTTAATTAATTTGTTAAAAAGTATTTCATATTTTTCTGAAAATGCTATTTAGTTGTTTCTTATTTTAAAAATAAATGAATTTTTTTCAGAATGTCAAAAAAAGTAAAACTTGTTAAAAGGCCTATACTTGGATTAAAAAGTCGTAAAAGGCCCATATTTAAATAAAAAAGTGAGAAGCCCATGCGAGAATCCTGCATTGCCTCTGGGGCCACCACGCCCCTGCAAACCTCAAAAACCAAAAAATGCAACATTTGATGGCATAGTGTGTGTTTTAAAATTAAAACTTGCGTATAAAATAACTAACAAAATAGTTCATTGCTTACATTCAACATGAAAAGAATACATTAGTTCCGATAATTCAAGAGGAATTAATTATGATAATTATTCATGATTATTAATTAATCATAACTTACTCGAGGCTCTCCTACGTGAGTTTTGTAGACTGGAAGGTCTATACTATGAAAGTATTGACAAACCTGAAACTATAAATCTAAAGAAAACTCTTATAATATTTAAATTTAAATTCCGATCTAAGTTGCGGAAACATTCAAGAACCTTCTCTAGACCTTTAGAACAGGAGCGTACTTGGTAGGACAAAGATGTAACTGTTGACAAAAAAAACTTTACAGCAGGTCCAGGTAGAAAGTGCAAGAACTGGGAAGATTTAGTTAATAGAAGCAGAAGATCTAAGGTAATTATAAATCAATTAAATTTAACCCAGTTTAAAAAATAGTTTACAAGCTTAAATATTAAATATTGTCATGTTTAAGGTTGTCAAATTGGCGGAACATCCTGCTGAAGCATTGGCATTAGCTTCAACAAAAAAAGCCACAAGAGATCCTAACAAAAAAGACTTCTTTGTTCTCATGAAAAGTGCTAAAAAAGCTCTGAAAAAGATAAAATCACGGAGCCGATAAAAATGAAAACCGAAGATGCCTTAAGCTTAAAATTCAGTCTGATGAACAAGTGTTATCCTGTTTAATTGTGACAGAACATCTTCTACATCATCTTTCCTCTACAGGGTATGTTTAGTCATACTCTGACAAGGATATTAACTTTTACGGAATGCCAAGACTATGAGAATGTTTGCTAAAAATAGGGGGAGGTTTAAAGGTCTACTTCACTTTAAAGGTGGTTTTGATGGTGCCTCTGGCAAAGTGTCAATAAAAAAAAATATACTGATACAAATATTGGTGAGGCACAAGTTAACAAGCAAAGTCTTTTCCAGACAGCTATTGTTCCACTTAAATTAACCACCATGAACAAAAATGTATGGTTGAATAAAAAGCCCTCTAGTACACATTACTGTAGACCCCATACATCTTCAAAATCAAAAAGAAACGGAAGAATTGATAAGAAATGAGTATGAAATTTTAAAGCAGAAATGAATAAACTAGTCAAGTTTGAAGAAGAGGAAGGCAAACGGATACGACTATCACATTTAAGTTCAAACTAGATTTAACTATGTTTGATGGTAAAGTGGTTAACACTCTCACTAACACTCTATCCTTCCAATCATGTAGTGTTTGCGGAACTTAATAACCGAGTATTGATCAGATCTAAACCAATTAACCAATTATCAATAAACTTATCGTTAACAAACCAATTATCAATTCTTTGGGCCTTTCTACTCTGCATTGCTGGCTTAGATCTTTTGAATATTTTTTACATTATAGGATATAAGTTAGACATTAAAAAATACTTTGCCAAATCCCCTACTGAAAAAGCATCAGTGAAAAGTAGAAAAAAGAACATTCAACTGAGGTTTAGAGAGGAGCTAAGTCTTATAGTTGATATGCCTAAACAGGGTTTTGGCAACACTAACGATGGAAACACTGCCAGAAGGGCATTTGAAAATGCTGAAACTTTCGCTGATATTACGGGAGTGGCAGTAGATGTAATTATTAGATTGAGGACAATCCTAATATCAGTATGCTCCTGTTATGAGTTGAACTCTGAAAGTTTTTGCCAGTATCGCTATGAAACTACAGCTCTTATACTCAAAAACTATTGCTGGTGTGTGATTCCCCCAACTGTTCATAAACTCTTGGAACATAGTGTGCAGATATATGAGGCATTAGAACTGCCAATTAGTTACTACTATGAAAAGTCACAAGAGGCTCTAAATAAGGAAATTCGCAAAGCTAGATTAAACCCATACAGCCAAGATATCTAGAAAGAATTTTATGAAAAACCAGTACCAATAACTGTTGATTAGAAGTGATCCTGTAATAGCAAATATTTGTTTCAAAAAACAGAAGGTTGAAAATGGAAAAACACTTAACCCTGAAGTTTTATCTTTTTTAATATTGTAATAATGAAATAAAGCTTTTTTATATATATTTAAGTTTCCTTTTTTAGTTTTCTTGAAAGAAAAATTAGATAAGATAAATACTTATTTTCTATTTAATATATTTTAATATTATTATAACATTCAAACATTTTTTGAATCCAATTTTTCTTTTTAATTAGTAAGTGTTTTTGGTTTGAAGTATTTAACTTTTTAAAATTATGTCAATCTTTGTGCACGTAAAAGACTCTAACACGTATACGCGTATGTAGTACGAGCCTCAGGAACAAGAAAAACTTACATTAAAAAATATGTGGTATTCTTGTATATGATATTTTGGATCAAGGAACTCTATTTTTTATTTAAATCATAATTTGCGCACATAAATGACACTTATATGCATAAGCGCGCGTTGCACGTATCATAGATACGCGTAAATTTAAATTTTTTGAATTAAAATACGATAGTATTGATGTATCACACGTTTATATATGATAGTTATATAATTTTAGCCGTTTTTTCATCTTTCTGACTCACTGTGCGCCGTTCATACTGACAATAAAACACATTTTATTTTAAATGCGTATCAAATTGTTTCGGTAAAAAGGTGTATAAAACAGCAATACTACGAGTTTGTCTAGTCAATATAAAAAGCTTGTGCTGTTTTTAACAGCTGTATAATTATAAAGCTGATATATATGTATAGATATATATACACTGTGTATTGGTCGATACATACATACATATATATACATATATATACATATATATATATATATATATATATATATATATATATATATATATATATATATATATATATATATATATATATATATATATATATATGTATATATACTGTGCCGCATCCTATGTATTAAAGCTCCTTGTATCCTTGTATTATTATAAATTTAAATTTATTCGTGATTTATGGAATATCTTGTCATATTTGAGTTGTTATTACAAATGAGGAATTTCTCCTCAATACAAGGTTAAAAAGAAAAAAAATGATGTTGGACATGCTCTAATTCCTAAGCTCTGTCCCATAATGGTAAGATTGCATCTAACTTTCTTTTCTACAAATACAACCGTGGTTATATAGTATATTCACTCCATCAGCCAAAACTCAACCTCGCCTGGCTTATTATTCAGCTAAGTCTCATATTTTTACTGGAACTACTCAATAAAGTTGAAAACATGATCCAATACTACAAGGCACTTAGGAGCAGGACGCACTTTTTACACTCTCAACTTAGGCCATGAGTGCTTCATAATTTTTTAGTCAAATAATTTTATTTTATCTTTGAAACTTTAATGGTCACATAAAACCTATTTTTGAAAAAAAAAAATTGAAATATTGAAATAACAAACAAGGAATTGAAAATTATTTTATCAGCAATTTTGTTGTGACCAACAAAGGTTTATTTAAGCTTACAAATAAAATTTAGAAAATTATTTAAGATTACAAATAAAATTTAGAAATTTTTTTTATATTGATATATACTTGTGTTATTAAAAGAAGTTTAATGTACATTTTGTGAAAATAACAAATGACAAAATTAAATAAACAAACATAAATAAAATAATAAATAATTTGCATGAATATTACCTTTAAAAACATTTCTATGATTTTTGAGAAGAGTTTGTAAACCACCATGTTGGGATTTTAAGCTCTGAAGTATTTCAGAGTCAAACAAAAACGAGAGATTATTTAGATGAACAGTGCCTAAAAATATAAGCAACAAAAATGAAGACCAGAAGAACACAATCATGTAATTTTTCATACAAATACACTATTACACTCCCAACAAGCAACCATGCAACAAGCTTGAATGATTTCTCTAACAGAAAACAAAAATTTTTCTGTTAAGGAAATTAGAGCAAAAAGACAGTTAACAGAAGATTTAAAAATTTGTATATTGTATGAGTTGGGAAAAGATAAAGATGGGAGAGTGTTTCAAAGCATTGACATGCAAGGAAAGGAAACTAGACAAATAAAAGTTTTTAGAGCATGAATGGACAGATAAAGTATAAGGATTCAACTTAGCTGAATGACGAGTAAAGTGAGAATGAGTTTTGTACAGTGAAACTAGAAAAGATTGCTTGCAACCATGACAGTATAACAGGTTCAACTAAATTTATAATACACTATTGTATCTTGTCTAGAAGAGAAAGAACATCATTAGAAAAACCAGCTAAAATATGACAACAGTATTCAAAACAGGGGCAAATAAGGGATTTTTAAAAAGAGAGAACATTTGCAGGAGTAAGAAAATGGCAAGTGTAATAAAGAAAAACAACCTTAGCAGGTGCTAATGTTGCAGTAGATTGCATATAAAATTTCCATGAATAAAATGACTAAGTGACAGTGTTGCCAATTTATCAACAATATTTTTATAATTGTTTGCAGTAAATATCTGAACTAAACTGTTTGAGTTAAAACTTAAAAGTAACTGCAAACTCCGAGCTGTTAAAGATGAGATAATAAATTCAAGATCGGCTGCTTTTTCAATTTTTTGACACAATTTTATAGAATTACTTATTTCAATAACTTATTACATTTATTAGACGTTAAGATAGAAACCAAATATTTTTGCAAGTACTTAACATTATTTGCTGAATCTTGCTTTGAGTTACTTTTTTTAAAGCTGCTATCATTTTTTTCTTATCTTTTTTACCTGAAGCTAATTTTTCGTTCTTCAATAAGATTCCTTTAATAATTGACCAATAACTTTCAATAACATGCTGCTCAGAAGAATTTGGAGGATTTGCTCTTTAGGTACAAATTCAATACTACTTCATTGATCACCATGTTAAAAAGTTAACTGAAGAATGAGAGGATTGAGATATGTTAATGAAGGAATAAAATATGTTTTAATAATAAAAAGACATTTGTTCTCAAGAGTTTTCTAGTGAAAATGATTACAATTAAAAATAGCAGTTGCACAGGAAGGTAAAAACCATGGGAAAGAATGAGGCTAGACTTATCAACCAATGAGCAAGAATAAAACCTTCTTTGCCTGAATTAAAATTGTACCCTTAATAAAAGATTACATAGGATGCGTAATTATTTGCGGATAGATGAAAGACAACACTATTGGCTGAAGGATAAAGGTAAAGAGCATGGTCAATTTAATCAGAAACAACAACAAAATATAAGAATGAGTGAAGTCTCGAAAAGAAAGAGATCAATAAAGAATAAAGACAAAAGTGATTAAGTAAAATAAAGACAAAAGTGATTAAGTAAAATAAAGACAAAAGTGATTAAGTAAAATAAAGACAAAAGTGATTAAGTAAAATAAAGACAAAAGTGATTAAGTAAAATAAATTAATGTATCTATTATGATAACTAGTAAAACTATAATAGTTTATAATTAATAAATTATAATAAATAATTATAACAAATTTTATATAATAAATTACTAAGTATTTAATACAGATAAATTTTTTTTTGCCTTAAAAAAACAACTTTAAAACTCTGTCTATTTGCTTACCACCAGAGTTCCATTCATTCCATGAAAATCCTTTTGTAGTAAGTTGTGCACTATCGAAAGTTATTTTAGGTAAACACTCTGAACAGTTTAACAAATATTGAAAAACTTTGTTCTTGATAAAATCTACTATATCTTTATTAATATGACTACAATTCATTGGGTCATTGTTTATTTTGCGAGGTATAAACTCAGGTGTCAAAGAAAATCTTGTTAGATGCAATGCCTTTAACTCCCATTTTGATTGATCTTCAATTGGATAAGATCTAACTCCACCAATATGACAAATCTTAAAGATAAGTTCAAATAAGTTTTTTAAAATTGAGGGGAAAAAAAAAATTTGTAAAAAGACATTAATCCTAATAAAACTTGTAAATATAAAACAAATACTTAAAATAAATTATTTTTAAACTTCAACATAAAAATATCTTTTATTTATTATTTCCCCATACCCCAGACAATGTTACTGGCTTGAAAAAAAAACTAAAAGTCTTGGTACTAGACTCAGCTTTGCAAGGAAATTAACTAATATCAGCCTACAAATAAAGAGTTTATGTAAACAAAACTACTTATGTCATTTCAAAATAATATATATATATATATATATATATATATATATATATATATATATATTTATATATATTTATATATATATATATATATATATATATATATATATATATATATATATATATATATATATATATATATATATATAAAATGTTAAGTTTTCAATTCAGTGAAAAAAAGTTTAACTTTAAAACTTCAGTTAACTTCAAGACTCCAGCAAACTTCAAGACTGTAACTCAACTTCAAGACTCTACCTTGAAGATTTCAACTTAACTTTAACTCAAAACCAAACCAAGTCATCAATAAATATTGAGTTAAAACTATTAAAATATATATTAAAAAAATCTTTTTGATACATTGATTCAAAATACAGAATAAAATTGTTAGAAATAAATTATGCTTATCAAACATACATAATAATGAGGTTTTGAACATTTTCTAAACTTTTGACTTTACACCAATGCGACAAAATCTGGTCTACATTATAATAACATTTTAAAAACAACACTGTACAATCAAAAATATCAAATTATAAGCCCACAATTAAAATAAAATAAAAAATACTCTTTTTGTTGATGGAATTCTCAAGATATCTTGATTGACATTAAAACCACACTCAATACCAATGTTAAATATATATTTTAAATATGTTAAATATTGTGAACATTTTTGATCTGCGCGATGAAACTAAAAAGGAAAAAAATTGATATAAAAAAGTTTTATTACTAATAGCAATAAAAATTAATCCAAACTTCAAATGATAATAAAATAATTTAACAAAAAAAAAATTGTATAAATATGTTTTATGGTATATTATGGAGTTCTCCAGTATTATGGAGTTACATATAAAGATACACAACTATTTTTCTTTCTATATTTGGCTATAGTTAAAAAATCTACAAATACTTCGGTAATCAAAAATCACGTGACTATTTCATAATTAATTACACAGCAGTAACTAGAAAAAAAGTCCATGTGCAAAATAAAGATGCAGTCACACTTGTAGTAAAAGAGAAGGGAAAAAAACACATCTAAAATAAAAAATATTATCTGTAAGCTTTTGTACATGTTTTTCTATGAAATGACCTTTAAACTTCTCGATAACAACAACTTTAAACAGATATTTTATTTTTAACCATAACATCTTCATATACTCTAATCTTACTTAAAATGTGAAAATCAAAAAAACAGCATGGAAGCACAAAATACCTTGCTGTGAAAATCGAAAAAACAGCATGGAAGCACAAAATATCTTGTTGAATATGACGATCTAAAATAATTTAGAATTTATTAACTTTTTTTACCAGGGTTAGGGTCAAATACATTTGCTCAAACGCAAAAACATTAATTCTAGATTCCCAAATACAAACACAAATATGTGATCAATATTTTCTAAACACAAACTTTAAAAAAATTTTATTTTAGGTTAAGAAAAAAAAATTCAACTATTTTTAGTTAATTTTTTTAAAACTAATGGTTAACTTTAACTAACATTATTAACATATATCTCTTTATTTAATTTGTGTTTATTCTATTAAATAATACATTTGTTCTTAATTTCAAAAAAAGTTTGAAGAAAATAGTCTCAAAAACATTTCTACTTAAAAGAATAACAAAAAAATAGGCTCTCGTAAATGTAATAGAAAATGTTTCTTCAAATAAATCTTTACTTTATTGTTTTTTTTTATAACTTAATATAAAGTAATTGAAGAAGAATTACTGAAACTAATTGATGAACAATTAAAGTAAGACTGATAAAATGGTATACTAAATAGAAGAACGAAAACATATTTTAAAACAAATAAAATTTTTTAAATATGTTTTAAAACATATACGCAGCTAACATTAAACATAATCTTCTTTATGTAACAGCTGAAGGCTAGCAGTGGTTAATGGATTTTTTACTCAAACAACTCTATTGTTTACTGCTAATAATTATTGCAATATTGCTGATATTCCTATACTAATAAGTAGCTGCACTTTTTACTGAATCCTCTACTTTATGCCTTCTCAGATTGCATTCCACTAACAACCTCTCATGAAAACTGTATATACAATCCATTGCAAAGTTAACACCTTCCCAGATTGCTTCTCTATATTGAGGTCCCCATTTTCTTACTCCTGAATTCATTCTCTACCTCTATAAACTCTAATCTTTCTTTGCATTGAATACTGTTGTCATACTTGGGATTACTCTTCCAATGATACCTTTTCACTTTTAGACAAGGTCCAAAATGCATTGTAAAGATAGACCTGCAATCATCACTATAACACAATATCAGTTAACTCATTTTTCAGCAAAGTAGCACTTTTTTTCAAACATAGTTTCCTGATTCAAATAAACAAACTTAAAGAATTGCAGCTTGTTGGATATAAAATCAAAAAACCAGCAGTGTTTTCTTATAATTTTTGTTTTCCCTAAAACATATTAAATTATTAAAGTCTGGTTATGCTTCTGATTCATTTCCTAATATTCAGCATACTTCAACCTAGAGTTTCTTATAAATTTTTTTGTTAAATCAAAAATTATATGTATTAAAAGTTTATATTACGTTTTTTATAGCTCAACGGCATAACACTTTATTACACTTTATAAATCCAAATATTTCAAAAATTGACAATAATTACAAACAACACTCGGAATTAGAAAGAAAGGTCAGCAATAAAAAAGCCAAACTTAAACTGCTTTTGGTTGGCATCAGATCAGCACAAAACTTGTAACACAAAAGTTTCCTAATAACAACATAGAAACAAAGACAGCAAAAAATAGCACATCTCAGACATTTTTAGGTTGACAGTTAGGTTGACATTGCTGACCTTAAATCTAAGGAATATATAAGTAATAATAAATATCTATAAACATTTAAAACAACAATTAAAAAGAACCAAGTTCTGTTAAACTGTTACCTTAATGCAATTACTGGAATCCATGGAGTAAGCTCATCTGAATGATTGCCAATTATCCAATCTTCATCAACCCTAAGTTCATCTGGTTGTAGTGAATTTTCCTATAAATTTAAAAAAAAATTAAATAAAAACAAATGTAAATAAGGAACTTGAAATTTCTTTTAAAAAAAATTTATGTTTATAAATATATATAAATACAGAGAGACTTGAGAGAGACACTGGGAAAAAAAATACTCAATTTAGCTTATGTCAAACTCTTAATCAACTTTCCTAGGTGAAGGAAAACTTAACCTAAAAGTTATGATTTGAAAAAATTGTTTAAATGCTGATTATTAGATTTTTCTCTCAATTATATAATAATATATAAATTAAAAATTATTAAAATTAATTTAGACAACAAAAATTCCCTATAAATAAAAACTTTTTTTTTATTTTAAGGCATTTTTCATTTTTATAAGAAAATAACTAAAAGGCAAACTATTGAAGAAATACTTCAAGAATTGTATTTTGACTGTACAAACTCCAGATTTTGCGTTTTACAAGATCAACTCCCCGTCCAGGATGCTAAAATTAAAAAAATTATATACAATATGATAAATATTTTAGAAAATTATATTTGCTTACATCATTGATTGCATAGAACAAGATAAAATAATATTCATTTTACTGAATTATTATACATTTTTTATGTACTATTATATAATGTATATATACATTTTATATATACTTTATATATTTAATCTACAAAAGATCAATGCAAAATAAAAAAAAAAAAAAAAAAAGAAGATAAATCAAGTGTTATCTGGAATAGGGAGAAATGATTTGAGAAAAAAATTATTTTAGAGATATCAAGAGTTTATTATGGAGATTTCATATCTCCATAATAAAATTTCTTTATTATGGAGATATGAAATCTTTAAAATGGAGATATGGGAGACATAATTTAAACCTATAAACAATTTTCATAATAAAAATTCAGTGTCAATTCATACAGAACACACCTAGGGGTTGGAGTATAAGAATTTAAATTAAAACTTTTTTAGAAGAACCCTACTACAAGTATTTCAGACTAAGGAATGGCATAGAGTGCTTGTAGTTCCAACTTCCTGGCATGAAGCAAACTCCAAACATTTATATCACTTATATCAGGATGACTTATTAATAAGGATGTTTTGCAAAAAATTGCAATGATTGGAGCTTGGGTAAAAAAAGCCCTAAAAATTGGCAACACCCAAATGTGAGAATAACAAGTTGATAAAATATTTTTTTGTTATCCTTAACTAAACTTTTATTCATCAATAAATTTTAAAATTCATAGAATAATCTCTTGTCATTTAATAATCAAGGCCTTATAAAATTTGTAACCCCCTCAAATTGAGGGGGCTCAATGTTATATGGGCAAAATTTTATAGAATGCTAAGACATTATTTTATGAATTTTAAAATTTATGGATGAATATAGATTTATTTTAGAATAGTAAAAAAAAAAATGTTATCTACTTATTGCTTTCATGTTTGGGGCAGGCCAAAATTTTAAAGTTCTTTAGATCACAGGCTCAAATCACTGCAATTTTTTTGCAAAGCATCCTTATCAAAATTGTCAGGACGTGTCTTTTTTTAATTTTTTTTTTTAAATGTTATTTACCTCCCCAAGACCGAGAGGGCCATTACAGTCAAGGAAACTACTTTTTGTGGTTACAAACCTATCTAAATTCTTTAACTCCTAATCAGGAACCTTGGCAAACAAGACTGCTATGTGGAGAAACGAGTTGAGCGCTGTATTATTAGGGATATGGCGTGATCTACCTTAGAACTTCTCACTACGAAGTGAGAGCTTTACAAAAAGCGTTTTTTGTTAACAACTAAAATTTAATTACACTTAAAAAAAAAAAAAAAGCAAAACAAAACACATATTTTGTGAACTAAACAGATGCCACTGATGACAGATTTTTTACTGAAATTTTTTACTATCCAAAAAATAATTTTATATTGCCAATAGTTTGAAAGTATGAAAACATAAATTAAAAAAAATTAAAAAAACGCAAATTAACCATTAACTTAAAGGTCATCTAAAACAAAAGTCAAAACTCTACAATAATTATAAGGAGGAGGAGGGGGGAAGGGGAGGAGGAGGAGGGGGAGGGCTAACAAATTAAATTGGGACTGCATCATTTAAATTTTATACTATTAACAAATACAATTTAAACTACAAATACAATCTCAAAAAAAAAATTAAAACAAAAAAAACAAAAAAAAAAAGTTTTAGTCATCAAAGCTTACTCCTTCACTTGACAAAATGTGCACAAGCAACCCATTTCCGCAACCAAGATCAACAAACGTTTGTTTTTTATTTAAACATAGTTTGTCTCTTTCATCTTTCCAAATCAACTAAAAAAAAGATTTTTAATTTAAATCTCTCTTAAACAAATCCAGATAAAAAAAAAAAATTCAACTTTATAAACAAAACAAAAATACTGACTAGCAAGTAAGTGGCTATAGCAATATCTTCAAACACAAATTTCAAAGGATCTGTGCTCTCAGGCCAAATCTTCACATTATTCATAAAAATAGAAGATTTTACTGATATAATTTAACAATTTATTGCTTTAAAAAAATCGATTTTATTTTAAGAAAGCATTTTTTTGCAAAAAAAAAAAAAACCTTGTCTTAGCAAAAAGTAAAATATGTTTTTTTAAATAAAAAAAGCTTATTATTATTATTATTATTATTATTATTATTATTATTATTATTATTATTATTATTATTATTATTATTAGTTAATTTGATCAAGATTGCAGAGAGGTTAATTTTAAATAGTAACAAAAAAATACCTGCACAAAATATGGTGCATATTTGTTTTTTAACTCATTGTATAATTTTGTATATGCTTCAACATCAATGAGAGACAGTGATTGAGTCTTCCGGAGAGGCATACTGGATTGGTTAGCTGCCAATGACCATGCTTTTATTTTTGGTAAAAGATGAAATGACAACCAATCTGTTGATGTTAACGAAACTTTTGAAAACGATAAGTTTGAATCACATTTATTAAGTGTAGAACAACATAAACTATAAAAACAACATTACTCTAAAATTAAAAAAATTTAAATTAAAATCAAATAAAACTAAAAAGCAAAAAAGTGAAAAAAAAACCTTGCAGCCTCTTGATTAAATTCTAAACAATAGGTATACTCAAGAAAGGTTTCTTGTCCCTCAACTCCACATAATGGCACAAATAAGGCATTTAAAAAAGATGAATCTAAAAAAATATTAGCAAATAATATTTGTTAATATTTTTTTAAGATGAATCTAAAAAAAAATATTAGTAAATAATATTGAGAAACAAGAAACCTTTCTTGAGTAAACAATAGGTATAATCAAGAAAGGTTTCTTGTCCCTCGATTTCAAATAATGGTAAAAATAAGGCATTTAAAAAAGATGAATCTAAATAATATATAAGCAAATAAAAACTGTTTTTCAAAAAAACTTTATTAACTAAAATAACCTATGTGAAATAAATTCTTATATTAGTGCTAATAAATTCTTATATTAGTGCACTAACGAGTGGTAAGTTGAAAATGGGACAGAGTTTAGCAGACAAAAAATGTCATATTAAATTGTTTGTAATGCCAACTACCTATTTTAATACAAATTTCATATTGATCATTATCTGTATTTGTTTTAGAAATCATTTTCGAAAATGAAACCAAATTGCATCAGCGAATATGAGATACAAAAACGTGTTCGAGTTTTATCTAGCCAATAGATCAGAGGGATAACCATTCACCTATAGTAGCACTTTGTAGCTGAAAAATTGCGAGAAGTACCATCTAAAAAAAGAAAACAATGCCCCAAATGTTCCAGAATTGTGTCCTATCAAAAATTTCTGGAGCATTCTGAAAGGCAAGGTCTATGCAGGCAAAAAGTTTAGATCATCTGCACAAAAAGATTGAGAAATGCCTAAAAGAAGTTAACATGGTAAGCGTACAACATCTTGCACAACAGGTTTCTGGTCTTGTTGATTCTGTTCGACAACATGGTATGATTGAAGATCAATAAAACTTTTTACAATAAAGAATGTGATGTTTTCTCGGATCTTTTTAGATTTTTTTGAAAAATATTGAAAAATGAGGGAGTAGCATCTCTTTAAAATCTCTTTTTTGTCCCAATTTCAACTTGCAACCTATTATATAAATATATATCTAATATAATTGATAAATACAATTCTAAACTGAAAGTATAGCTCAATAGTAGATTTAAGTATAATCACATATTTTAAGACTAGTCAAGTCAAAAAAGTATTTTACCTGAGTTACTTTATATTAATAATGACTAGAGTAACTAAAAATAATGAATATAAAAAAAAATATCATTTCTTATATTTATGGAATTCATTTTTTTCCACTTTTTCCTTTTACTGAAACTTTTTTTGCTAATTATTTAACATTAAGACTAGATATATATTTGTCTACTATTTCTTATTAAATATTTTTTTTTTCCATTAATAATATCAATATGCTTCTAGTTTTTAATTTTTTATTTTATGGTAAAATTTCCATGTTGTCTTTTTTTATTCTATGATTGGTAAAATTTCCATGTTGTCTTTTTTTATTCTATGATTGGTAAAATTTCCATGTTGTCTTTTTTTATTCTATGATTGGTAAAATTTCCATGTTGTCTTTTTTTATTCTATGATTGGTAAAATTTCCATGTTGTCTTTTTTTATTCTATGATTGGTAAAATTTCATTGTTTTTTTTAACTCATTAGTTTCAAATGAATATATAAACTTCCAGAAAAATATCATCTATGGCTTTTCTGAAAATTTATAATAAAATTTTTATAAGTAAAAAAACAAAAATTATAATCACTTTAAACAGCAGTTCCCAACTTTTGAGACTCCAACAGGGGTTACTTGGCAATTTGCCAGGGGTAGCCATTAGACCCTCTAATAGTTTGTCTACACTTGTCAGTGGTTTCTTTTAATCCTTTTTGAAATTAAGAGATACTCTGACTACAGTTATTTATAATTTTAAAACCTTAACTTTAAAGTTAATAGCTTCGACTGTTTGTGACTATTAATTTTATAATGTAAATTTCACAATGCACAGTTAAAATATTGTAAAGTTTACAACATTTTAAGTGTGAATTGTGCAAAGTATTTTATACAATTAATAGCCACACACAATCGAAACTTTAAAATTGAAGCTTTATAAAATGTTTTTAATGTAACATTTATTTCATTTTACTTAATTTTAAAACATTTTAATCTTTTGCAAATATTAAACAAAACGTATAAAAAACTGTTTTTTATTACAAATTAATTAAAAAGAAATTTGTAACAAAAAAATATAAACAAAATAATATATATTGAAATCAAAAAACATAATAGTTAGCTGCAAAAATGCAGTGATTTAGAAGGAACCTTAATAAATTTATTGTTGGGATTCCACAACTTGGCAAATAATATCAAGGAGTTGCAGCAATAGAATTTTGAGAACTGCTGCTTTTTTACATTAGTAAAAAAGAAATTATTAAAGACTTTTAAGTTACTGTTACTATTTTAATATTATTATTCCAATAATATTCAAATAGTTCTAGTAAGTAAAATATATACTGGAAAATCCAGAATAGATTTTAAAAATCATATAATCAGGAATATTATCTAATTAAATCTTATATAAATGATAGAAATAATAAAAAATATGCAAATAATTTTTATTAGAAAACTTTCACTTTCGAGTATTTAAAATAGATGTAACCACCCTTAGAGTTGTATATTGATGGTGTTGTATGTTGATAGCGCTGTTTATTGATGATGTTGAATAATGATGGTGTTGTATATTGATGGTCTGCTAGAGGTATTTTATATTGATGGTGTTCTATTTTGATGGTGTTACATATTAATTTGGAAAGTTTATTTACTGAATTTTATTAGTAATTTAATTTTTAGTTATTTTTTTATTTTTCTACATGTTTGTTTTAGTTCATTTACCTTGTGATTTTTATTTCTAATTTCTTAAACTCTTTTTAAACCACAAAAAACAGGTGAGCTAGAAAAAGAAATAAAAACTAATAAATTAGAGAACGTATTTTCAATTTTTTTTTTTTAATCTACTAAAAATATTGCAATAATCTATATAATAATCTATAAAAATATCTAAATAATGAAAATATTAGAATATGATTTCCTTAATCCATTGTTTCCTTACAAGTGTTTAAATTTTTATACTCTTTCATCTATTAATTTTTAAAATTTAAAAATTTTTTTATAACAATTACTGTTAATATTGTAATAAATTATAATAAATATCTATTCATTCCTTGCTCACATATCTACTCATTCCTCTTTTATAACTTTTATAGTAATAAGCAATATGAACAAATTTAAATCAAAAAATAATTAAAAACAAAAAAACACCATCAATAAACAAAACAAAAAAACACCATCAATATACAAAACAAAAAAACAATATTATCAATAACAAAAAAAAAGAAAAAGAACTAATAACAATAATAATAATAATAATAGTAACAGGGCATGCAGGGACAGATACAGTAGAAGAATGAGACTTTGATTAATGACGAGTCAAGTGAGAATGAGTTTTGGTTAATGGAACTAGAGATGAAAGGTCCTTTGAGCAGCGGCCATGATTTGTAAAAAATGAGAGAGAGATGCAACTTTACAACAATGGGAAAGAGGCTCAAGCTTAGCTGATAGACAAGGTCTAACTACATTTACAATGCATTTTGGACCTTGTCTAGGAAAAAAAGCATCATTAAAACCAGCCCAAATATGACAACAGTATTCCAAACAGGGACAATTAAGAGATTTGTAGAGGTAGAGAATAGAGAGTCAGATGAGAGAAAATGGCAAGCAAGATAAAGAGAATTATTGATATGTGTTCAAGTATAGCCTACGATATTTCTATATATATATACATATATATTTTTTTTAATTCTATTCACCTCCCTAAGTCTATGAAGGCCACTCTAGTCGAGAAAGCTACTTTAGTTATGGTTACAACCTTCTCTCAACTTTATAACTCCAAAACACAAACCTTGACAAAAAAGGCTGCTGCGCGGATAAACAAGATGAGCATGTTACTACCAGGGACATAGTGGGGATCGAACATCACAAAATAAAATCATTCTAAAAACAACTTCATTATCTAAAAATAATTTAGATATCTAAACAACATATGGCTGTTGTTTAGATATATAAATTACTAAAAAATTAATAAAGAATTCTAAGTAAACTACTTAAGATAGTGACATTTTCTTTTAAAATTAAATACACGAAAAAAACTCATAAAATAAAAAACTCATAAAATAAAAGAGACTTTTATTTTATGAGCAAAAATTATTTTTATTAAAGGATGCAAAGTCGGAGTCCAGGAGACCCTGTTTTTAACCGGAGTCCAGATTCCTGCCTATTGTGAAAATTGATGTTACTCCAGGAATTTTTTAAATTTTATATCAGCATTTAAACGTTTCCTAATAAACCATTATTAACTTTTATATGTTTATTAATTCAAAATTGATTAGCCAACAGTTATGTAACTTTAAACCAGTAGAAGCATGAACATATAGAATTTTGCTACATATGACAAGCCCTCCACCAACATCCCTACTGCATGTAAACTTAGTATAAAAAAACTTGTCTTTCAAAGTATATTAGTAGATATACCTTCAATCTAAAAGTAATAGTTATTTTTAAGCAAAAAAATGAAATCAATAATAATTTATAATTTTTTATAGCATAACTAGAACTTAATACAGTCTCCCTATTTTTTGACTCTAAAGTCTGGATATTGATGAAACTTTGCATCCCTGCCAAAAACTGTTGCATAACCAATACAAAAATTGTTGTACTTTTGCTTAATAATTTTAAATGCATTCCATATATTTTTTGACATTATAAAGCTCAAGGCATCATACCAATAAAAAAAAAAGGACTTTTAATAGCTGCAGAAGTGCTATAATCAAACATTACAAGAGCAAGTGGTACACTTTGTTTATTATTTCCTCAATGAAGTGATTTGTTAGAAAACTTGAAAACCTTTTTCTAATTTTACAAATAATAGCTGATTTTCATCATATACATCATGACATCATAAAAATGTTAATAATGAAGCGAAAACAACTTGAATCTTTTTGCATTTATAAACTTAGCCAAAAAAATAAATATATAACATTGTTATTTTTTTTGGTAAGATTTTTAATGTTGTGGTTAATTTTGTAATTATCAATCCAATTTGAAAAAATAAAAACAATTGAAAAATTATCAGAAATGACACCACATAGGCAAAAACCGTTTTCTTGCAGAGATGTAATGCACTGATATACATGGCCAGCATGACATAACATTTCTTTTTTTGATGAAAAATCATGATGGACATGCTTTTATTTTAAATTTCTTTGTTATCTACTTCTCTCATTCTACCACCTCAACATTGTACTTCTTTCTGGAAATATACTTTATTTATCACCATTACTACAATTCAGTTTTTTTTTTGTTTAATAAACATTTAAGATTGCTGGCCTCAGCGGCAACAGCTATATAGTTTCTTGAACAGAATAAAAAAAAATTTAATGCATTTTTTCTCTCTCCAAATAAAGAGTTGATACCTCAAAACTATGAAAACATAAATACAATAAAAAAAGATTTAGAGAATAATGTAAGATGCACAAATTCATTAACTACAAATGTTTTTGTACCTTTTAGAAGACATAAACATTGTTTAATTTGAAAAATATGTATTTATATTTATACTTACTATGGTTACTAAGGTTAACAATATTCAAATTATTCATTTTAACAATGAGCTTCATGTTTCTAAACATATACGGTTTTCATTCTAAATATATAATGCACGAGGAATAATTTGTAGCTTTGCATTTTTTCTATATATATAATTTATATTTATATATAATATTTATATATAATTTCTATATTTGTATTTCTATATTTAAATCATAAATTCTAATATTTATATATAATTTCTTAAACAACATAATATTTATCTTTAATTTCTATAATTTGTGGCTTTCTCAATGGAATTGTATAACTTGATGGTGGTATACTGAATTGTACATACTCAATCCAACTGATAGTGGTATTTTTTGAGTTAAGCAATAAATAATTTGAAAAGAGTAATCCCAATTGGATCATCCATAAATTACACAACACTAAGTTTCACTAATAAACAAAACAAAAAAGATCTAAAGTTTTCCTTTGCAGAGCTTAAAGTTATACAAAAAATGAAAATAGCGCATTAAGTTTAATAAAAATCACCATGTAAAAGTGCTTAAGATCTCCTACTTCTGTTTTTTAAATAAATTTAGAATTGCATAATTTATGGGCGATCCCAATATTATTATTTGAGCCATTTTTTTAACTATTTTAAAAGTGTTTAGCACAAATAGTCAAGCTTTTACTGGACTCTTTTTTTTTAAAAAATAGTATGTAGCAAAAGTGGTTGTTCCACAACTTTTGGTATATACTATTTTTTGATATATACTTTTTTTTCTGGAAACCAAAAAATATTTTGTATAAATGGTTTAATCCCGAGATATATAATATAATAGAGATTATATTTATGATATCAGGGCTCAATTTAATGGTCGGACATTGTTCGGCTAAAACCTAATTTACAAAATAATCTGACATTTTGATCGACGGGATTTAAATTTTACAAAATAAAGTTTGGAAAGAAATGGCGTCTGATAGAACGCTTTTGCTGACCACGCAAATGATTTTTTTTGTTTACAAATTGACCACAACTGTTTAGATGTTTTGATGATTTAAACATTTCAGAAATGCACTGAAAAAAGAAACATTAATCTAAACTTAAACTAAGAAAAAAATTTTAAAAACTATAGGATAACCAAAACAATTCCTTATGGAAAAGAAAATAAATTAGCTTTAAAATAAAACTACAAATACTCGAAGTAGAAATTACTTTTTGTTTTTAATTGCATTTGAAAAAAAATTACTTCAAAACTAATCTTTTGAAGCGCTTTATAAAAGGTACGCAAAACACTTTTACAAATTACTCCTATTGATTATTTAATAAATGAACAAATTTATTTATTATTGATAAGAAAAAATATAATATTTTTAATTTGTATAAACATTTTTTTTCAAAAAGTTTCAAAAAAAAAAATTGTTTAAAAAAGTAACTTTGTCTTTTTCGAAGTCAAGTTTAAAAAAAAAACTTACAAACAATTCTTTGTAAAAATAGAAACAAACAAACAAAAAAAATAAAGCAATTAAATCATGGGAAGATTTATTCTTTATTATTTATTTATTATTAACTTATTATTTATTATATATTATATATTATTTACTTATTATTAACTTATTCATAATTTAAAGTAACTTAAAAAAATAATTTTTTAAAAGATTTTTAGAACGACATGGAAAAATAGTTTCAAGCATTTAAATTTAATAAAATCATAAAAATTAATACTAACAACAATTTTTTTAAATATAATATTTAATTTACACATAATGCGTTTATTTTTAAACGATCGTTATAATTAATTTTTGATTTTATTTTATATAAAGCCTTCGCATAAAATAAAAACTTTAAAAATAATTAAAAGTTATTTGTAACATAATGATTTTTTTAACTGCATATAAATTGTTAAAACATCAGAACAGCCGTCAAATTGTAAAGAAGAAAATAAAAAGCGTTGTCAATTACAGCATGATATTTTAAGTCTATCTAAAAAAATGTTAAATTGAAAGTATTTTATTAAAAAAAAAAATCTACGATGAAATATTCTAAATAATAAGGAAAGAAACTACAACTTCATTAGACTAATGTTAAATAAACTAAATAACATGACAAAGATTTTGATTCCATAACTCGGTTCCGTAAAACCGTAAAAATTATATTTTAAAAATTTGACCAGACATTATGTCCGGGACTTTATAAAAAATTAAATTGAGCCCTGTGATATATATAAATTTTTGCTTTAAAAAGCAAGTTATCTGGCAATGTAGTTATAAGTAATAATATTGTAATGAGAAAATTAAAATAATAGAAATAGTTTTAATAATGTTAAGATATTTTTTCTAAATATTTCTCTAACAACTTTAATAAACTTACCTGTGCTGATTATAACAAATTCAACTATCGGTTCATATCGATCTAAACACTTTGGAAGAAGCTTTCTAAGTATACATTTTCCTGATAACTCTTTTGTTTTAAAACAGGACTCCACAAGTCTTTTTAACTCATTAAGAACAGTTTCATTAATAAAGCATTTTAATTCTGTAATGGGCAATATACTATCCAAGTAAACACAATTAAAATCTCTTTGAAATATGTATGCACAACCAGCAAGCCTTCTATTTAAAACATGAGGTTTTACGCACCAAACATCAATGGCATCTAGCACATCATTTACTGTGCAACTTAAACATACACTTTCTTTTATAACAAACATCACTAAGCTAATAAGACAGATAAATAAACCTAACAAAACTTTTACTTATCAATATTTATAAACAAATATTAGTTTAAGATAAGCAAGATAAAAATTTTAATGATTGTTTCTATAATAAACAAAATCAAGATAAAAATAAAAATAAAATTCATCAAAAACCTTGATTAATATTAAAGTTTTGCTAAAAAAATTTCTATTTTCATATTGGTAGTTTTAAAAAAAAAATTTAAACAAATTTAAAAAATTGAAAAACAAATAAGCAGTCAATAATAGAAATACAAAAAGTAAAAAACATTTTCAGCTTGTATTTTCTATAGTTGTACATGTTTTTTTTTAACTATGTATTGTACTTATCACTTGAAGTATTTAAAAAGATTTTCTTGCTAAAATTAGTCTTAAAATCTACTCAATAACTTCTGTAATAACACCTGTACCAACAGTTTTGCTACCTTCTCTCATTGTAAAACGCAAACCCTTTTCAAGAGGAGTAGGATGCATAAGTGTCAATGAAAAGCTAGCATCTTCACCTGGCATTACAAACTCTTTACCAGCATCAAGAGTAATGGTGGCTGCAACATCACCTGTTCTGACATACATCTGTGGAGTATAGTTAGATACAAAAGGCTTGTGACGCCCACCCTCTTCTTTTTTCAAAATATATACCTGATAAAATAGTAATAAATGATTTGTGTAGCAATGAATGTATATTCATGATATAGTAAATTATGGTAATTAATTTATGTAAAATATGCTAAACAATTCAATTGGAATAAATTATGCTAGATAATTATGTTAGACCTTTTAACAAGTAATCATTAAGTAAATTATGTATATTTAAACAACGTGCTTACTTGAGCTTTGCATTTTGTGTATGCTTTAACAGTTCCAGGAGCACAAAGAACCATTCCTCGTTTTACATCTTCACGCTTTAAGCCTCGAACTAATGCTCCTAGGTTATCACCAGCTTGACCTTGCTCAAGAGATTTGTGAAACATCTCCAAACCTTAAAAAAGCATCTAGTTAGTAATGTTGTTCAGTGATTATACAGGTCATATTTAAAAATGCAAAAAAAAAAAAAAAAATGCAAAAAAAAAAAAAAAATCCATAAAAAATTTATTTCCCTTGTGTTTGTTTTAATATAACTTTAAGCTGATGATTTTTTCAATTTTTTCAATTTTTTTTTTTTTTTTTTGTAACTTTTCTTAATTTTATTTGTGCAAAGACTGAAAAAGTTAAAATATATATATTTAAATTTGTATTTACAAAAAACTTCTTGGAACTCTGGAAAAACTAAAAATTTAAAGAAATATCTAGAATTTTGGATAACGTTGAAAATAGTGATAATGAAAATCTCAGTTGTTACACAGAATAAAAATAGTCTGATTATTATTTATTGCGTTTGCTGAACATTGATTATTTTTTATTATTTGTTTTTTTTTAAGTAAATTTTTTTTAAGTTGAAGGTTGAATTTTCAAGTTGATTTTTTTTAAGTTGAAGGTCCCCAAAGAAGTCTTTACGGTCTTATCACAGAGCACCACGGAAGAGCATTTAATAGAAAGTTCACGCCTCCTTCCCAACCGATGTCATAAAACTTGCCCAGAGGTGGGGTTTGAACCACGGATCTTAGGTTTCTGAGGCAAGTGCGCTACCACTGCGCCGCAGCTGCTATCATGAGGTAAAGTTTTTGAAAATAAGACTGAAAACTTACCTTCAGGTCCAAAGAGTCACATTGTTGCTATTTATTTATTTTTATTTTTTGTATTTATTTTTTTCAGAGTTGCAAAGTTTTATTATTTACCTTGATTTCATGATTAGAAAGAACATGAGAAGAACATTAAAGCCTTTAGTTAAAGATTTTATGAAATAAAAGAATTTTCTAAACTAATTAATTAAACATTTCTAAAAATTTTCTCCTTTTTTTAAATAATAGTTCGAGGGGGTAATATATTGTCTTAATACTTAAGCTATAATATATAAAGATAAAACATTTAAAAAATCACACCAAATTTTAATTCCATGTGTTCTTTTGTTTCAAAAAACAAAAACAACGATTTGAAGTCTTTGATGTGAAGTCACAAAGAATCACAGGGCATCTAATCATAGGCAATAATGGTGCATATATAATTTATTAAGTTTTATTTGGTTTTATCTTATTAATAAAATATTAAAAAAGGAAAAGTGTCTATATGTTTTTGCATACACCCAATATATATAGTGGCATATATTAAAACACCCATATACACTCAATTTATATACAGTGGCTTGCCATATTATTACAGAATATTAACAAAAATCTTATGCATATCTATCATATGATGTGGAGCCACAATCTTTATCTTTTATGTTGATAAATATTACTTATAATTTATCAACATATCTCTCCACATAAATTTGGGTAAATTTGTGAATGCTTAAAGGAACTAGGGCTACCTTTGTGAAAACCACCTGAAAATCATAAGTGTGTGTGTGTGTGTGTGTGTATATATATATATGTGTGTATATATATATATATATATATATATATATATATATATATATATATATATATATATATATATATATATATATATATATATATATATATATATATATATATATATATATATATATATATATATATATATATGTGTGTGTATAGATATAGATGTAGATATATATATATGTGTGTGTATAGATATAGATATATATATATATATATATACAGGCCTTGCGATAAAGCGTCGGGCGATGTGAATTTTACGTCGTCCAGGAGCGATTTTGCGTGTAGCTAGGGCTATTTGCGTCGAGCAAAAAATTTTTTGGTTGAGTATATTTAAAGATATTTTTGAGCGGAATTTTAATGAAGTAATTTACGATTATTTTAACATTTAATAAAGTATTTTAAAAACCGCACACAGTTGAAATAAAGGTTTGAATTAAAAAAAAATTAAATATGCTCATTATTAGAAGAAGAAGAAAAAGAAAAAATTCAGATTAAAAAAAAATTATAAATCTTTTAAGCTAACATTTTAATAAAATTATTCAGCAATAGCAAAGTTGTCGATAAAATTGAACAAAATTACTTTCTTTTAGTTTTAGATTTTAAACTTAAATAATTATTTTACGGGGGTTTGTTAGGTTTTAAAAAAAATATATTTAAAAATATTTATTAACTGTGAGACGTATTTAAAGTATTTAAGAGTAATTTCGAGGAAACATTTTAAAAATTGGTGAGCGCAAATAAAAAAAAAAAAAGGATTAATATTAAAACGTATTCTACTTGATTCAATAAAAAAGTACAGTTATTAAAATTGTTGTAAAAAGTAACTCAAAAAAATTACTTAAATAATAACAATCGCTTTTATGTTAAAAGTAACCAAAACTCAACGAGGCGTGCTCAAGAACAGCTGCTGAAAAATAAAACGTCAATAGTTTTTCGAATAATTTTTAATAATAATTTTTGAGAATAATTTTTTTGCTGAAATATTTCTTTCATACCTATAAGATTTTTATTCTAACATTTTATTTTATATTACTTAAAATAAAATTTCTTGTTAACATTAAAAATCTATTCAAAACGTTCGTTTAAGTTTTTTATTAATACGAGTGATTGTGCTTATCAACCGCTTTATGAAAATAAATAAAAATAAATAAATATTATATAAAATCGCTTGTAAAAATATTAGCTATTGCACAGTTTTTAATCGTACAATATTAAAATTTCCAGTTTATTACTCGCTGACTTTTTAAAAAGAAAAATTAATTATTTGAAAAACTTTAAATTATATATTTAAGAAAAAAAAAATCAAATATTAGCATATTTTATAATCTTTTTTAAATTTAAGTTATAATGTTTTTTATTCGTTTAGTATAGACAAAACGCGACAAACGTCGAGAAAATAAACAAATGTTTTTACATTTTAAAAAACGAAACATTCTAAAACATTTTTAAATAATAACATTTCTACATAAACGATTTAAAGTAGTTTTGCGGTAATTAAGTAAATTGGTGCAGTTAATGTCGATAAATATGAAAAGCAAATAAAAAGAATTTAATGACGTCAAAAATCACGTCGTGCTTATGCGTCGCGCAGTTCTTATTCATCGCAAGGCCTATATATATATATATATATATATATATATATATATATATATATATATATATATATATATATATATATATATATATATATATATATATATATATATATATATATGGGCAATTCATTTTTAACTTATGTTACATGCGGAACAACTTTATCAAATACTTGCCTATTTAAACTTTAATCTATTTTGTATGAAAGCTGTTAGTCTAAAGAATAAAATAAACTAAAAAGTTTTGAGTCTGGCCAAAAGAGAGCAAACTTATTACTGAAAATGCCACTTAACTTATGTTACACAGAAAACAAGGTAAAAAAATTGCTTCAACTTTCAAGTCAGATTTCTGTGAATCAGTAAAATGATTTGTATTAAAAACTTTCACAAGATGTTGAGAATTCTATACCAATTTAAAAAATATATAAAAATTTATCAGAGGTGACCGGCTAAGGAAAATAAACTGATTTTTTTGATACTATATATTTAACTTACATTACATCACTAACGTTACCCAGCTTTTATTATCATGGACTTTTTATATCTATTATTAAGAGTTAGAATTATGTAACAAAAGAATTGCAAAAGTACGAACTCATTAAAAATAATTAACAGAGGAAATTTTACAAAAATGGTGGCTCCCTTCCTGAGTAATTTTTTATAACATTAATGAAGGTTATCAAATTGAAGGAGTTTTTTCGCAAAACCAAGAGCAATTTTAAAAAATTATTTTAGTATTACAACTTTATTATTACTTATTTGAGTCATTTAAATAAGGAAACCTCATCAAAGTTTTTACTTACACTTCTTACTTCTTATGCCTTATTTTCATTAGGATGAATTTTTAAAATGCTGCAAAGTATTTTTATTAAATCTTTTATAATATTTTTGACATAAAAACTATCACAGTTTAGGAGGGAGAGGAGTTCAGGTATATGTGATCGTTTGTGACAGGAGGGAAGGGGTTAAAAATTGACAAAAATTGGGGTGAAATGCTTTACTGATGACCCCATTTAATTGCATTTACACACGATTTGTTTTAATAAAACAAAAACAAAAAAAGTTATAACTGATTTTTTTTATATTAAGAGAATAGCCATTTTTTTTCTATTTTTATTGTCTAAATAAAAATAGTAATATAATTCTTATTTTAATTTATTTATGTATATTTGTGTATATGTCAACTAAAAAAAGAATACATAAATGCGAAAACAATAATATAAATAATTTTAATTAAATTTAAAAAAACAATAAAAGATTTTTTTTCTAAATTCTCCTAATATAAAAAGTTTCAGTTAAAACCTTGTCAAACCCAACATGATGAAATAAGAATTACTTAAAGGGATCCCAAAGTGCCGAGACAAGTTTATTTTAAAGAGAATGTTAAAAAAATTGTTTGGGCAGAATTTTTTTAAGTAAAACAAGATAATAAATGTATACCAACAAAAAGAAATTTTGTTGTTTTACTCGAAGCTCGCCGTTTCCACAGTAGCTATTCCCTGAAAGTCTTTAAAATATACGCCGCAATCTACAGACTTAATAATTTATTCAAGTGCGTTTATTTCCAAAAAGTTTTAGTAAATGACGTCATTGTAGAATTTCATTAAGAAATCTGAAAACTCTTTTTTTTTTAATCAAATTATAAAACTTTTTTTAATTATTATTATAGATGACTTTTTATATAAAAAAAATTTTTTATCATAAATTACTGTAGAATTTCTTTAGTTATTTTATTTTCTAAGTTTTGCAAAGCTCGCATTAAAAATATAAAACATTTCAGATATTTTTAGCTCGTCTAGTGCCAGAAATTACTTTTTGTGTTATATTTATTGTTATTAAATGATTATCATCCTTTTTAAGAATCTGTTAAAAAAAAAAAATTTATATTATTTAACACTACTGCAGGCCGCTGACAGCCACTTTTGATTTTTCAAATTTTTACCGCAAACTACTGGTAGAGTATGCTTCACAATTTATCTTGTTTTGTACATAATTTTTATTCTAGACACTAATTTATAAATTGTTTGTTCTTAAGGTTTAATTCTCTACATAATCAAGAACAAAAAAACCATATTGTGTTATTATAAAAAAGTGCATGTACTTTATGGACAACTCCTTAGCTGTTTATTGTTATATAGTTTGCTATGAAGATTTACAAAAAGATTTACAATTCAAATTTTAATTAGTTGTCAATGTCTTTTAAATTTTATTCAAAAAGATGTGTGGTTGCAGAGTAACAATTTTTGTTAAAGGGACTACCAAGTCCCGAGACATGTTGTGTTCATATTAAAGAGAATGTTAAAAAAAAACTCCTGAGCAAATTTTTTTTGATTAAAACTAATTAATAAATGTATACCAAGAAAAAACAAATCTTGTTGTTTTAGTCGAAGCTTGTCTTCTCCGTTTTCTCTGGTATTTTGAGTATGTAAAATAAACGTGATTTTCCAGGCGCATTATATAGACTTGATAATTTATTCAAGAGCGTTTAATTCATAGGAGTTTTAGAGCATGACGTCATTGGAAACATTCTAAAAATTCTTTAAAAAATTTACTATTAAATTTTACTCAAATAACTAACTATAGTTACTTATTTTATTAAAAGTTCATTTTATTAATTATTCGTTAGTTTTTTACAAATCTAACGAACAATTAATTAAACACTAAGAAAAGATATAAAAATTAAGAATATACTAATAAAATATATAATTTGTAATTAACTTTCAAAATTTTGACAATTTAAAAAATATATATTATGAAACATTTATTTTTGTAAACAAATGATAGTTTAAAAGTTTTATGGCTTTACAGATGTGGCTCTGAGAATGAGCCATAATATTAAAGTAATAGTTCATTTGATAATATATTCTTAAAAAAATTTATGCTAGATATCTCAAAACGCAAAAAATCGTAAATAATACAATTCCTAAAACATTTCAACAGAATACTCTAGAACTTTATTTCGCTTAGTCAGCGTGTTTTTTGAACCAATAGAATTAGTTTGTTCGCAAATTTGGCGGGTTTTTAGTGTTCGCGAATATTCTTTTTATTCTTCCGCGAGATGTTTTAAGAACATTAAAGTTAATTATGCTTCCATGTATGTCTGTAAAATAAAAATTGTGTCTGTATGTCTGTAAAATAAAAATTAATATATATTAATTTTTTAATTTTTAAGCCCCCGCCATAATATATATTGGATGTTATAATGGAAATATAAATAATGAAATAAGATCACCTCAATACCAAAAAATACATTTTTGAAAATCAGTGAAAAAATGCGTTAATAATTTTTTTTTAATATTTACCCAGTAAATTAATAAAAATGCATTATTATTAAGGTTAAAAATTATTTTATCTAATATTTTGAAAGAAAAACTTATAACAAAAGAAATCAAAATACAAGTGGTCTGGACGATTATTTAAAAAAAGTTGCACAAATAAAATTCTATTTTGTTTTTAATTTTATTTTTATTTTTAATTTTATTTTGTTTTTAATTTTATTTTGTTTTTAATTTTATTTTGTTTTTAATTTTATTTTGTTTTTAATTTTGTTTTACAAACACATTTTAGAACTTTAAAATATAATAAAAATGAATATGATTTGGAAATTGTATGTAAAAAATAACAATTGGTGTTTTAAACAAACAAAAAAAAAAAAATTTATGACGTCATGCCCAAAAACTCCTATGAATTAAACATGCTTGAATAAATTATCAAGTCTGTATAATGCGCCTGGAAAATCGCGTTTATTTTACATACTCAAAATACCAGAGAAAACGGAGAAGACGAGCTTCGACTAAAACAACAAGATTTGTTTTTCTTGGTATACATTTATTAATCAGTTTTAATCAAAAAAAATTTGCTCAGACGTTTTTTTTTAACATTCCCTTTAATATGAACACAACATGTCTCGGGACTTGGTAGTCCCTTTAAAACGGTTGGTAGCGAAGAGAACCTTATGAAAGTTTAATTAACAGCATTATTTTCAAAATTCTTATTTAATCATACAAGAATATATTAAATGAAATTTTTTATTTTGTAAAATAAGTAAAACATTGCTTACTTTATTTTATTTTTAAAATTGAACAATTATGTGTCAAGATTGCAAAAAAAATATGTAGCATTATTGAGTAAATTTTAAAATTGTAATCTTTTAATGAAAAACTTTTTATTGTCAATTTTGGTAGTTTTTTGATTTGTAATTTTAAGAGACAGGTTACATGCCAAAATACGACAGGTTACCTGCTAAAATACCCGCCAAACACGACATAAATAAACTTTTTATTGTCAATTTTGGTAGTTTTTTGATTTGTAATTTTAAGAGACAGGTTACATGCCAAAATACGACAGGTTACCTGCTAAAATACCCGCCAAACACGACATAAATTGAAAAGTATTAAATAGAATATGTTTTTTAACACGCGCTGCGACAGTTTTAATTGCCATCTGTCTTTAGTTATTGCCATAAAATATTATTTAGTAAATTAATAAAAATCTATCTGTCAATTTGTTAAGTGTAAAAACTATAAACATTTTCAACTAAAAATTTAAGAATTCAGCAAATATCTCTAATAAATGATGCCGTTTACCGAAATTCTTTATTAATTAAAAATTTAAGAATTTGTAAAATATCATTTCGATAGGAGAACAAAAACGTCATAGCAATAAACGGCTCAGATAAACTAAAAAAAAGTTAACATTGTTTACATAAAAAGAAAAAAAGATTCAGAAAATATAAAAAGTGATTAATGACTTTTTTATATATTTATTTTATTTAAGAGTGTAATATAAATATCTTAATTTTATTTGGTTCTCGTGCTCTATAAAAAAAACATAATTCTTATGTGTAGCTGTGGAAACGACGAGCTTCGAGTGAAACACCAAAGTTTGTTTTTGTTGGTATACATTTATTATCTTGTTTTACTTAAAAAAAATTTAACCAAACATTTTTTTTTATCATTCTTTTTAAAATAAACACAACTTGTCTCGGCACTTAGGGATCCCTTTAATGACGTAATTCATTTTGTTAATGAAAAAGCGCCAGAACTTTAGTAAATGCATGCAGTTATAACTTAAATTAAACAAATTTAAAATAAAAATGTGCTTTAACTAAACATTGTTATTCAAAACTTTAAATGTAAAAATGTAACATTTAATATACAACAATTTGAACATGTTTGCTCCATTTTCACACTAAATTAATTCCGATTATGCAAATAAATTCATGGTTAAAACGACATTTAAAAATGATACTTTGGTTATCATGCAGCAATGTGAAAAACCGTAACTTTCGGAAACTTAAAAATGACAAATATATATATATAAATATATATATATATATATATATATATATATATATATATATATATATATATATATATATATATATATATATATATATAAATTAGTAGAAAATCACTTAACAAATTTTTTTTATAATTTTACACTGTGTTTCATCAATAGAGACTCATCAGAAATGAATGATCAAATTAATAAAACTTGAATTTATACCAAAAAATTAAATTACAGGAAGTCGCAAATATTTTAACTACTGTAAATTTTCACACATTTGTGGAATTTGCTGACACTATTATAAAAAGAATTCTTTAGAAATGATTACTTATGCTTTTTAAAAAAAATATTTTTTAAAAGGGGGAACTTAATATAACTATTATTTGAGCTCACTTATTTTTAAAGTTTTTTAGGAGAAACTTATTTTCATGCCTGCATTTAGAAATCAATTCCGAGAGGAAAAAAAATATATATATATAATTTAGTAAAAACACTCAGTAGGTTCATCAGAAAGAAACCATCAGTAGGTTCTAACCTACTGATGGCGAAACATGCTGTTGAAGAGCACAAAAATTAGATAAGTGTTTTCACTAAATTATTATTGCTCTATTCTTGAAGAACATTAAGCACTCTATTTGTAGAATACACCAACATAATATATATATATATATATATATATATATATATATATATATATATATATATATATATATATATATATATATATATATATATATATATATATATATATATATATATATATATACTATAGCGTATATAGATCAGCATTTGCTCACTAGTTTTGCCTATCTTTACAACCTGTGGCTTTTGAAATTAAAAAGAATATCTTAAAAGAAAAATATGATTGTTGGCATAATAGTGGTATACTAGTGTTTAATAATGAACAAACTTTTGATAATGAATAATCGTAAATATGAAAAAAGAAAAAAAAAATTTTACCTGTTGCAACTGTTTTAATTGGTACATTACTGTGACCTACCAACTCTAATTCATCTCCCTTTTTGACAATACCTCTCTCAATACTTCCTGTAATGACAGTGCCTCTTCCAGATATAGAGAAAGAATCTTCTACAGGCATTAAAAAGGGTTTATCAAGATCACGCTTTGGTAACGGAATATGAGAATCTACTGCCTATAACAGATTTTTAACAGAGCATTTTATTGAGTTTTAACAAATTTATATTTACTTTTAATTTTAATGAATATTTTATTTTAAAATAAATATAAAATTATATTAAAGTATTTTGATAGTATCTCTTACTAATAATAATAATAATAGTAAATGAAATATTTTAATAAGAACAAACAAAATAACAGCTAAAAACCATTTTTTAATTATTTTGTTTTATATATGTTTAGACATGCAGTCTAGGGACTAAGTTGCTTTTAGTTGGTCATTTTTTGTTTCAATCAATCATAAAATAATTCAAACATATTGAGGTAAGACAGGTTTATGAAGGCTTATGAAGTTATCAAAAAAACTTTGAAGCTAATGAAGAAACTATTAATTTTTAACACATGTTCAAATTTAAATAAATGTAAAAAAAAAAATCTGTTTTAGCTAAGTTTTTTTGGTTAAAAACTAAGCAATAAATGTATATTTAAAAAAAACCTAACATATTGTTTTAGTCAAAGCTTGCCTTCTTTATTTTACTCTGTAAAATGGAAGGTGAACTTTTACTCTGTAATGCATGTTAAATAAGAGTTTCAGTATACAACACCATTGTAGAGCTTTTTTTATATAACAAGTATTTTTTTAACTAAAATCAGCAAATCATATTTGTTTATATAATTTTTTACCAAATCCTAAAAAATATTTGTAATAAAATTTAATATAAAAAATATATTTGGTTTTTAGACTTCATTTGCACAACTTGTTTTTAACAATTGACAACATTGTTTTTAAAGTTTCATTTTTAAAATGAGTAACTCATTAAAATGATTACTCATTAATGGTATGATTTTTGTACAAGTATTATAAATTTTATAGGATGTTATATTTAAGATGACCAACATAATCCATTTTTTTAATCAGATTTTTTTTTCCATTTAATAAAGAAGTCTATGTTTTGTTCTCATCAAGAAACTCATCGTTAGTTTTCTCAGGGTAGTTTCCCCAGATTAAATAATCTATTGTAAAAAAAAAAAAAAAAAATTTTAAATAGATAATTGAAAAAACAAAAAAAACAATAGCAAATATTTTGCAATGTTAAACAGAAGCAAATAAAGTACAATGTTTACTTATTTTTTGCACAGCAAGTTTTTTTTGCAGTTCAACTGTAATTCAACAATGATCAAATTGAGTTTGAAAAATTTATACTTACAAATATTATATTTATACTTAATGAAAATTAAAATAGGCTTGAATAATAAACAAAAATAATTTATTGTGTTTTTGTTTTTGAAAACTGCTTGCTTTCATTTAAAAAAACATTTGTAAACATTAACTAATAATAATATATATTATAAAAAACTTTAATGATAAGTCAACAATTTTTAAAAATTAAAAATAGCGACTGTTTATCTGATTACAAATATCAGCATTTTTTTTTATCAAATTCACCTATCTAAGGCTCCAGAAGGGGCTAGAGTTGAGAAAGCTACTTTTTTAAAATTTTATTTCTCTCTTATCTGTAAACTCTGCAACGAAAACCTTGTTAAAAAAAAAGCCACTGCACAGGGAAATGGGTTGATTTTTGAACTTCTGGAGGTATAGGGTGGATTTTAATTTTAAACTTCTTGATTATGAGCTAAAAACTTTACAACCGCAATATGTAATCTTTACTGCATAATATATATATATATATATATATATATATATATATATATATATATATATATATATATATATATATATATATATATATATATATATATATATATATATATATATATATATATATATATATATTGAATAAAGTGATCACGAATTGTGATATCTGAAAAAAATATCCGCTCCTCAAAATTTTAGTTTATGAAAACCATAAACTATGTTTTTATGGAAAGGACAAAGTAGCTTAGCTTTCTTAGCAAAAATGTTATAAAAAAGCAAAAAAAAAAAAAAAAAAAAAAACAGTTAATTTTCCTTAAATAAAAACATATATTTTTAATTAATAATTAATATAACTAATCAATAATAAAAATAAATACTTTGAATTAATAATAAATGATGCAATTAACAATAAATTTTTTTTTTTTTTTTAAATTAATTATATATAAAATATATAATTAATTAATAATAAAAATATACATTTTTAAGTATTTTAATAACATTTTTTTTTTGTAACTATAAATAACATAAATTTGTTTTCATATTTTTGAAACAACTGCTTCCAAATCCGTTTTCAATTTGTCAAAGTAAATGTTAGTAATTATCAGTATGACATGACAGCATTTAGTTAATTTATTTTAATCATTACTATCATAGATATAATTGCTACTGAAATATTATGTGGACCTAACAAATAATTTGTAGACTATGGCAGTCCAATTGTTTTATAATATTTGCACCACTTTTTTTATAAATGATTATTAATTCTATTTTTTAAATTGGAAGACATCAGCTTTAAAGGCATCCCAAACCTCCAAAACATGTCGTGTTCATATTAAAAAGAATTATAAAAAAAAATGTTTAGGCTAAATTTTTTTTTGGTTAAAACAAAAGAATAAATGCAAACCAAAAAAAACTCACTTTTTTATTTTAGTTGAAGCTCGCCTTCTCTGCTTTGTTGTAGGCCAAAAAGTCAGCACAATATACGCTGCAATCTACAGACTTGATAATTTATTCAAACTTGTTTTATTCCTTAAGAGTTTCAGTACATGATACCATTGATTTTTTATGTTTGTGTAAAAGATCGATTATGTAAAAAACAAAAAAATCAATGATGTCATCTACTAAAACTCTTAGGAATAAAACGCTTCAACTAAAATAAAAAAGTTAGTTTTTCTTTGTATGCATTTATTCTTTTGTTTTAATCAAAAAAAATTTAACCCAAACATTTTTTTAAAATCATTCTCTTTAATATGAACACAACATGTCTCAGAGGTTTGGTATCCCTTTAACAACATCTCTAAAAAGTTAATTCCGATAGATAAGGATTCTATTAGTTAAGGATTCTATTAGTGAAGAATTCTCTTTGGCTAATATTTATCATGATTTGCTTTATGGTAGGGTGCTAATTATTTTTAATCGCTCCTGCAGGAGCAGAGCCTTGGAGCTGATGCCAGTACGGTTGATTTATTGGGACTACTTACTTTTTTAAAGCTGTTGGAGATTTCAAAATAATCAATTAACATTTTTCTAATTCTTCTATCTTTAAGGATAGTTAAGCCAAGAATTATGGTTCTTGATTCATAATTAAGTTTACACAAAGTAGGCACTAGTTTAGCAGCTCGTCTTTGAATTCTTTCTAGATTCTCCAAGTTTTTTTTCCTGTTAGGATTCTATACAAAAAAATGACTTAAAATGAGGTCTTACAAACAACGTGTACAAAAACTTAAATGATTTAATGTTCCAATAAATGAAAGTTCTTTTAAGCATTCTGAGAATAGAGTTAGCTTTTGACGCAGCTTTTTGGCATTTGATTTCCCCTTTTCGGTTGCTTGCCATTGTAATACTATACCATGCAATCACTTAATTCAACCTTTGATATATAATTATATAATTTAAGTATAAGTGAACATACTTAAGAATTAAGAAAATCACTAATTTATATAACTCAACTTTAGGCTCCAACATCTTAAAGCATTTCAAAAACATTAAAAACAACTAAACTATTTTCACTAGAAAATAGCTGTAAGATTTAAATATTTTATTATCATATATAAATTTTTTGTTTTTATTTTTGAAAACATATAAAAATAAAGTTTTTTACAAATGCAAAGACAAACTTTTTAAATTTCAATTATTTTATTTAAACTTTCAGTCAATTTACTTTAATTTTGATGCATTGAGTCACAAGCCATGACTAGAAGTAGTTTAAATATCGCTCCTGGGAATTTGGGAATTTGATTACAGAAGAGGAACATAGTCAATGCAAACACAATTAGGAATTTGTAATACCATCATTCAAAAAATAAAGAGATCAAGAGAGTTTATGAAATTCTTAACATACTTCCTCAAAAATCTAACTTTAAGTCTTCCAAACATATCAGAATAAAAGCAAGAGATTAAACGCATCAATAAAATCATAAAGAACCTAACTGAAAAAATTTAAAAAGTTATGTAAATATTTCCTTGAAGTGTGAAGAAATAAATAATATCAAAGAAAGAATGCTTAAAACTTTAAAATTATGGCTTTAATTAAAGAAAAAATGTGTTCCAACAAATGGACTATTGTTCAACTTCTCACTCTTGCACCCCAAGTTGGTCAATAATAGAGGTACAAAATACTTTGCAGTTACATAATACCAGGTAAAGATGACAAGATAACCTTTTTGATACAAAGAATTGTTAGCTGTTGTAGCTCTATTGTATAAAGTTTAACCAAAAGATGTAGAAGATTTGGGTAAAATATTTTATGACTCAAGTAGTTTTTGTTAAACTATGCTTGGAAAAAAGATAACGTAAGCACCAAAAAGAACACCCATAAACAAAACAAAAAAAACCTACTTTTTTGCATTTTAAAAATTTTAATTTGTGCCAAGAAAACAATCCAGAAATTTAAACAAGCTACTCAAAATTTATTTTATTTAAATTAAAATGATGTGTTTTGACAGACGCAAGTGGTAGACATTCTATTTATGCTTTTTCTTACCACCAAAATTTGCTAGTAGATGACTTAAATATTGGTAAAACTTTTTTAAATTTAGTTTCAAAAATTGTTTTCTCAATGGAAAACAAAGAATACATTCAAACACAATGTGATGATTATCCTTGTAAAAAATTGCTTGTTTGAATGAGATTTTTGGAGAATATAAATACAATTTTGAGATAAATACAAGCAATGGCTAACTAAAGATTGAACACTATTGAGTTCACAGCAGATAATTTGAATTTCGTTGAACTTTAGTATATTGCTTTGATAAACTAGATATTCTTTTATTGCTAACTCTCTATCACCGTACCTTGATCAAAACAATTTTTTGGATAAATCAAGCAATTATAGGCTACTTTGCAGAAAATTTTGTTTTGTGATCCAAGATGAAATACACAAGAACACCTAACAATGTTTTTTACACTAATTGGTTATATACTATAAAAACAAAGAAGGTATACTGAAACATACTTTGAGTTTATATTAGATGACATTACACACAATGAAACCTTTGCATACAAAACTTTTTAACTAATCATATCCACATTAAAAGCTAAAATTTCTTACTTATCTCTAAATAATACAGCATAATTAATTTTACTTAAAATTGCATAGCTTTTATTTTTATTGACCAATTAGAACTTAACTTAATTTTTAATTTTAACTTTTCACTTAAACTATACTTTAAAAAACAATAAGTAAAAATTACAGTAAACATGGAAAATATATATGTATATCAATATGTATTATATATGTATTATCTTCCAAAATAATAACAAGCTTTATGTGTTTCACTAAAAAAAACTTGTTTTTAATTTAGCGGCTAATCTTAGTCTGTTCAACAATTTAACACTTAACAGAAATTACTGTAATAGAAATGCAGTAACTAACAATTATAAAATAATATAATAAACACAAAATGTTTATTATATTATTAATTGCAATGAACAAAACATTGTGCAAATTGATTGTAACTGTACCAATTTCAAATTAAGGTTAACACATTCTATTACATGAATTTCAAAAACAAACAAAAATAAATGTCATATCAAAGGATCAAGTAAAGGTGTGTATATTATGATCATCAAATGATCATTCAAATATTTCATACTTTCTTCATACCTTCAATACAAAGAAAATATAACTTTCCTTCCTTTAAAAATAACGTCATCTTTTTTTGAGCACAAAAAATAAATTACATTTTACCTACTTTGTAGTTAAATACGTTTTTAAAATTAAAAATATATTTAATTAAAAAATAGGTATTTATTAAAAATATAACAACATCATAACATTTTGACAATTCAATGATTCCTTTTTTAGAGAATATTTGAAGATAAAGCCAAATATTCAATAAAGCACATTTGTTAATACAAAACCTACAAACTTTTCTCCATGTTTATTAGTTTTATACAAAATACCATTATCATTAAAATATTACAATACAAAAATATTCAAAAAAGCACATTTGTTAACACAAAATCTATAAACTTTTCTCCATGTTTATTAGTTTTGTACAAAAATATACAACTAAATTCTTACAGCTAAAAGTTCTTGAATTTTTTGAACTCCAAGTTCTGGTTTTTTCCCCTCTAATGCACATAAAGCTGATCCTCCAATTACTGGAGTGTTGTCTCCATCATAACCATATTCAGTCAGCAACTCTCGAATTTCCATTTCAACCTGTTACATCAATATTAAAATCAAACAATTTTGTAGTTCTTTCAAAGATTCTCAAAAATGTCATTGTTAATCATTAATAAATTTTACCAAGTCCATAATTTCTTTATCATCAACCATATCAGCTTTGTTAATAAAAACACACAAGTTTTTAACTCCAATCTATAATAATAATAATGATACAATAATAATATAATAACAATAATAATGATAAAAACCAATAATAATAATTACAGATAAAATAGAATATAACCATTTATAAAAATTGATAGCAAAATGTTAAAAATAACAAATACCTGATTTGCAAGAAGTAAATGTTCTCTAGTTTGAGGCATTTGACCATCTGTAGCTGCAACAACAAGTATTGCACCATCCATCTGTGCAGCACCAGTTATCATGTTCTTAAAAAAAGTTTTTTGAAAACAAAATAAATTCAATTTACAAAAATATAGAAAAAAAAATAATGAGAATGATATTAGTGCTTAAATCACAAAACACATTAAAATATTTTTTAAAGACCTTTAAAGATTCCTATATTATATATTGTTCCTAATTAACTTTAAATTAACTATAATCTCTTATTAAATGCAATCAAGAGTGTGCATTATATTTATCATTTGTTCATTTAAACTACCTAAACTTGTATTTAATCTATGAAAATGATGATGATGATTTTAATAAATTTTTTTACACTTTTCTCAATAATCCCTATTTAAATTTTAGAAATAATTTATATATATTTATACCATTTTGTTACTTTATATCAATATAGTTTGCTTTTAAGTTTGAGTTGTTTTATTAATAATAGAAAATAGTAAAATATAAGAGTAAAAACATAATTTCTGTAAAAAAAAACCTTAAAAATTCTTTCGTACAACAAAAACTAAGGGATGGGGGAGGGGGGGAAATTAAGTGAGGTGAGGAGATGGCGTCTAGAAGATTTATTTAAAATAAAATGTATTTTAACAACTGGTAAATAGTAATAAACTTTTAACATTATTCATTCTTACTGATCTATTGCATTTTATAAAATTTTTAAGTGGCTGACTCACTAAGAGCTATTTAAGAAATGAATGAAAAAATAATCAATTAAGATGTTACCAACCTACCTTGATGTAATCAGCATGGCCAGGACAATCAATATGACCATAATGACGAGTGTCTGTTTCATACTCTACATGAGAAGCATTTATTGTGATTCCTCTGGCTCTCTCCTCTGGAGCATTGTCGATGTCAGCATAATCTTTAAACTTTGAACCCCCTTTTTCAGACAGCACTAAAAAATTTTAAAACTTTTTGAATATTTAATTGTAACAATAATACAATATTTAAAATAGTTTTAAAAAATTTCTAATTTATTTAAATAGAAAAATACATATGCTAAAAACATATTTGGAATATTTAACTAAGACCAGAACTAAATATCAGATTATATACAAATTATATACATATAATATACTAACTTTAATTTTATATAGACTATATACATATAATATACAAATATTATAATACTTGAAAATTTGTTGTTTTTAGAACCACATATAAAAGTATATAATGAACAAAACTTATATAAAACCTTTAGTTATAGCTGCAGTAAGTGTAGTCTTCCCATGATCAACATGTCCAATTGTTCCAATATTGATATGTGGTTTTTGACGAGAAAAAGCCTTCCTTGCAACTGCTTCAGCAGCATATAGTCTTATTTGATTATCTAAACCATAAAATTAAAAAAAAAATTATAGCAAACAATTAAACATTTTTAATATAGTTATAATTAAGAGAAGGTATTATGTTTATAACTATCATTTAATTTTATATAAACATGGGCAATTACACTATTTCACCTAACAACAAATCTTATAAATTTATTAAATTTAGATATATATTATAATAAATTTTTTTTTTGTGTGAAATTGACAGTCACAATGATCTCATAAAATTTCAATTAATATAATATAAATATAAATTTTATTTCTTAACTTATTAAAAATCTTTTATTGAAACTTTTTTGTTTTGTTGATAAAATTGATCAAAATGAAACTTTTACTTATGTTGATTAAATTAAAAAAGAAAATTTTTTTTTAATTTTTAAGTTAAAGGCTTTATAATTTTTCAAACTTGATACATGTAAATTGTGTGAATTTTAGTCAAAATTAAAATATAATTTATAAATACATTAATTTAAAACTTGTATATCAAAACCATGCTTTCGTCTCTAATTAGAAATTACTAAACACACAGCAAGGACAAAGCATACCAGTCTATCTGGTTGCACATACAACTTGCAAAAACACAATTGCTAAACTTATGTGGTGAAAGGCTTCAATATTCATTTAACATGCTTTTGTAAACTCTTTTTAAGTAATTGTAATATATTTTTATTATATAATAAGTGATCTAATGTTTTAATAAATTATTGTAAAAAAATATTATCAAATTTATAATATTTACATTATAACTAGACAATATACAATAACTTTTCTAAATTAATGATATGATATTTATGTTGAAAAAAAAAATTAACATACTTTAATATTATCTATAATAAAAAGTATTCTAAAAATATAAAAAAACTCTTGAAAACAATTATGACACTCTTGACAATTATGACTCTTTTGAGCCAGGATAGCTCAGTTGGTTAAAGCGCTGCTAAAAAGTTTGGAATAATTATTAGCGGTAGCAGCAGGATTATAAGTAAATAGTCTAGTCGAGTAAATGAAAATTATCGTTTTATCATTGACAACAACTGCTGTCAAGATTTTCTTTTCAGAATACTAAAATTCTTACAATTAATGTTACAAATTTGAAAAACTATTAAATTTTTCAACTTTATCAACATCTACATTAACAAAAGTTTCATTTTGGTTAGTTATGTCAACAACAGCATTGCAATGTTCAAGACTTTACAGTTTATTTAAACGAAAAAAGTTTATAATAACAAAAAAACAAATTAACAATATAAAAACTTACTTATAGACTGACAAAAGAGCAGATTTTGAAAAATCTAAATATAAATTCATGTGAAAATTATATCAATTTAAATAACACAATCAGGGCGCAACAAATCATTTTTTGAATAATAAATCAAGTTTAAATTTTTTTTGTTCAAATAATTTTTTATTAATTTATAAGGGAACATTATATTCAAATAACTTTTATTTTAGTCATTAAGTTGTTAAATATATCAATGCTATATAAGATGCCTAATTTTTTTAAATGAACTTTACAAATGCTTTATTGATTTAAAACAATATTTATGCATTGGCAAAGTAAGCGCAAATAAATAATAACTAATATGCAATTATTATTGTGACTGTAAACTGTTTATCCATTAATACAGAATAGTGAATTTTTCTCAATTTAGTTTGTTAAGTTTATTTGCTTATAAAAAAACATATAAGCTTAAAGAAATTAAAATAAAAAAGAAACTAAAAATAAAATAAAAGTTGTTTTGAAATTACTTTTTTTAAACCTTTAAAAATTATAATATAATATTATTTATTTAATAAGTTATTATTAAATACTTAAATTTATATTTAAAATATTAAGTATTTGATTTAATAATAAAAATATCATATTATTGGTGTTGTTAAACACACAATAAAAATAAAAACTATAATAAACATAATAGTTCTATATATTCTATTAAATTATATATATTTCAGCATAGCTTAAAAAATTATTTTAAAAATAACTTTTAAAAGTGCAAACAAACATTATTTCACTTAAACGATAATAAGAAAATTTTTAAAAAAGCACACTTTTGAAAAAAGCAATGCTTCAGCATGGTTTCTTTTGAAGTAATCATAAATGCAATAACTTTAACTAAAATTTTGCATTCTTTTGTAAACACATGTAAAAACCATGCTAAACATAATTCCTTTCTTCAGTTCCATACTTAGTTGAAAGTAATGCTATAGAAGAAAGTAATAATGCTTTACCATGATTTACAGCTTTATTAATAAATAAAAATAAATGATTTCTTTTAAAGTTGTTTTGAATTTTAGTAACTAATTGTTTTTTTATTATAAATATGTGCTTCTTATAATAAATAAAAAGCTACCAATTGTATAACTATTTGGAAAAAAATGCTGAAGTAATGTGTTCATTTTTAAAAATTTTAAGCAAACACCAACATTTGCATAAGTAAATGTAAGGAAATGTGACATTTGTTTTATCTTTTTTTCAACAAACCTTTGCACATTCATCAATTTGTCGCACCCTGACAAATATTAATAGCACACTAGCAGTAAGCAACCCGTAATACGGGTTGTTAGTAAATAAAATTTAAAAAAAAAACCCGTATAGATAAGCCTAGACACTACTTTAAAATAGAAAAGCCTAGAAATTGACGTAAGTCCACTATTAACTACTACTATTAAATTAGCGTATTAATATTATCAGATGGTCAATGCAGGTTAAATTATCCATTTTAGGAACTTGTACTACAAATGAGTAAAAAATACTATGAAACTTAAAAATCCTTTTTTTTTTTTTAAAATAACCTATTGTATTTTATAAATGCATCCTATCACTATGTGACTTCTATTATCTATGTTGTCTTTTGGAAATTTCCAAAAAAAATTCTCATTATTTAACATAAGCAAAAAGATGGTACAGTAATGGTGTTAGACAGATTTATGGTCTAGCTGCTGTTGTTTATCTTTTTTAAGAAGTCTGGTGGTCATACTTAATGGTCTTTTCTAAAGTTGCAAAAAAACATGTTTTTTTCCTTTGTTAATGTTTGTTTTTTTTTTGGCATTTTTTGGTGGTTTTCTGTTTTTTTTAAGCAATTTTTTAGGGGTTTTTTTGGCATAAATTTTGGAAGAGTTTTCAATAATTCTAGTATATTTTTAATATAAGATGATTAAAAGCAAAACTACATGTATAAATCATAGATCATCCAAGTCATATTTTGAAAAAATCCTGAATTTGTTTTTCCTTATTTTCTTTTTAATTTCGTATTTAGCTAAGTTGTTTTTAATTTTTTTCGACACTTTTCATAATTTTTTTATGATTGATGAGTGAAAAAGCTTAAAAAACAAATATATTACAAAAATATAAATCTCAACTTGCATGTATTGAAAATGTTTTGGATATCTGGAAAAGCTCAAAATTAAAAAAAATATCAGGAATTCCGGAAATATCCGGAAAAAGATAATCCCTGATAAACACCAATTTAACTTATATTTTTAATAAAAAATCAAATTAGCTATAAGTTAGTTATATATCTAGGCATACTGTGTGGGAATGTTTATTTGTTAAGTTGTGCTTCCTAACAACTGTGACACACTCATTATATATAGAAACTATTCTTATCTTATAAAAAAGTTACCATTTTAATTTTGATAATGCAAATATATTGGCATATAATACTATGCCAATTTAATATCAGTCTTAAAATCTTTGAAGGAATAAGCAATCTAGCTAGATTATTAATTTCTTTATGCATTTGTATATTGTGTGGTAATTTAGTCTAATTTTGTTTATTACTTTTTGTTAAAAAAATATATATATATTGCTAGTAGGCGCTTATAAAAAATGAAAATTTAAAATTTTGAATTATTACTGTTTACTAAGTTTCCCAGACCATTTTCACCTGACCCCATTCACCCCAGACCCCATTCACATATATCTGATTATTTCTCATTTATTTTTTTATCTGTTTTTTTTTTTTAACATCTAGACATTTTTATTTAGTGCTATATCAGGCAAAATATTTTAGTACTATATCACACTTGTGAAATTTTTAACGTGCTTTGTTAAGCTCAATTTTTAGATATAATCTTATGGCAAAAAGAACATTCAACTTTTTCCATTTTGCTAATTTAGCTCAGAGGTTTAAATAATTGGGCAATAAGGTTTTAATTCTTCCCCCTGTATGGAGAGCTTAATAATAATTGACTACCAACAAGAAGAAAAATAAGAAGTCACTCAATAATTTAAAAATTTATCTTCTTTCTTTATATATATTTATGTATATATAGATATTATGGTCCCTTAAAATCCTTTTAGATAAAAAAACCACTGTTTTCAATGTGCTATTGTTATCTTTTGTATTAATTCTTTTTTAGATTAAAACTAAAGTATTCATATGAAAAAACCAAAGTTTTTATATGAAAGATAAAAAAATGAGTTTTTATAAGTTTTTTGATGTCATTTTTTACAACTTTTTTTTTTTGTATATAATAAAATATTCCTTCATTTGAGTTGATCTATTTTCAAAGAAATATTTTCAAAACAATATTAGGGACCTGTTAAAACGTAAATCTTATTTTACCGGGGCTGGGTTTGAAAAAGTATTTGAGCTGGGACGCTGGTCACTTACTAGTGTCATACTAACAAATTGAAGAAGTAAAAAAATAAATTTTTTTGCATTCAAATAATATTTAATGCGAGCTACGGCAAGTGGGACGCTTTTAAATTTAAAACATTTTTTTACAGTTTTATTCTTTTAGGGTTAATCTTTTTTTTATTTTCTCATTCGTAAAAAAAAAAATAAAGTTTATTGTTGTTTTGTTTTTTTTTAATTTTGGATTTCAGAGTATTTCTAAAAAGCAATAATTGATAAGGTCTAAAAAAACTATACTAATCATTAATAATGTTGAAAGAGAATTATTTGTACACTATAAATTAGAACTTGTATGTTGTGCATATTAAATGTTATCACATATATCATTATAAAAGATGTAAAGTATTGGATTATTTCTTACTGATAGCAATAACAAGAAAAAATGCTGCCTAACATCAATATTAGATAAAATATACAAAATACTAATACTTGGGTACAGTTCTAGCTAATATCAGATGCATGTTGACATTTTGTTAAAAGAACCCTAAATATTTATTTACATTTATTATTATGCAAAACATACGTAATTTATATTTGTGATACATATATACAATAAAAAAAAACTAAATTTAAATTAAAAATAGCAACAGGGGCTGTGATTCATGCTTCGACTGACTAAAATAGGGACAGGCGCAGTAGAGTATGCATACATCGACTGAATAAAATAGGGACAGGCACAGTGGAGTGTACATGCAGGTGCAAAGGGCTTTTGGTTAGGGCAAGCAGTATAAAAGAATAACTTATTAATCTTGTAAAAAAGCCTACCGCTCTGCTTAAATCAAAACACATATTTATGAAAATTAAGTGTTTTTTTCAAAAAAATCAAAAACATTAATTTATGATAGGGGTGCGCGCGTGTGAATGAAATACAAGAATACGATAAAATTCTGACTAAAATACATATTTTTACTTGTAGGTACACAATTAAAATTGTTATAAAAATTTAAATTATTCAATTTTTATTTTTTGTGTGTAAATTTTTATTGCATTTATATATTACGAATGTAATTTATGCATATTTCACTCTACAAAGATTGTTTTTTACACTCCAGTGTGGTCCGGTGCAGTATTCGTGTACACCCTATAGTAAAATATACACTGATTTTACTAGCAAAACTTAATTACTGATTTTACCTGCATTAACCATAATTAAATATATGTTAAAATCTAACCTTTACTGATGCTGTTGAGTGTGGCTTTATACCAGATTGTAAAACTAAATAAATTTTTTAATAACAACATAAAAAAAAACAATATCACAAATACTAATTCAGAAACATAAGATTCATAAACATAAATTTGTAAATATAAAGTTTGATTAATTCTAGAAATATTTAAATCAAATTCTTTTCAAATATAAACAATTTGATTTCCTGATTTATTCTTTTGTTTAACTTATCTTAACCTCATATATCTTTTTCTAGACTCTTGAAGTAATAAAAAATGTATTGATAGAATTCAAATATATAAAAATGTCTTAATGTTTTGATGTGTAAAATATATTTTTAATGTGGTGAAAAATTTTAAACCTTAATTTGAGAAAGGGTTGTTTAAATCGTAAAATATTTGGCTTTTTTTTATAATATAAAAATACTAATAAAAAACTTCATAAATATTTTTTATATAAAAAGAAAATATAGACACAAAAGCAATCATAAATATTAATACCTTGCGACGATATAAGCTTAAGTGTAACATTCATGATGCCTAAAAATGTTATGCTTTAATATATTTGTTGTATAATATAAAAACACAACTATTACAATAACTATTTATTGGATGACAATAATATTGTCGATAAACTTTATCGACATTACCATTATCGTAAAGGTAAAAAACTGTAAAAAAATATAGGTTTTTTCAATACAAATAATGCATGCTTTAATTAATACTTTACAACAATAACTTATTAGTTATGCTTAAGCTTGACATTTATTGAATTTATATATAGTTATATACAGTTTTAATAATGTTAGAGCTTCTAAAAATATGCACATGTTTAAATTTTCGTAGACCGTAAAATAGTCTTGTATAAAAAGGCGAAATCCAACGGTGTCCTTCACGTTCGCAAAAATAAAAACTTGAGCAAATCAAGGTTTCGCGTTTTTTATAAAATCCTGACCCGAATATAATAAGTGTTTGAATATCGAATTCGTTTTTAATGGTGATAGGTTGAACAAATTTTGCTATAATATGTTGAAAGTAATTATTTAATACAGTAGAAATTATTTATCTATCGCAAGTTTTTATAAGAAAATGAGTATAAACGGTTTAAATAATTTTAGCTAATTCAGGTTTTACAAAAAACGCAAAACCTGAATTAGCTCACTGGAAAAAAGTATCGACCAACTTTCTTTTAAAGAGATCCTGTAGCCGTTTTCACTTCTCTCCGTTAAGCCTCAGCAGTATAAAACAGAAGTTCAACCGCATTGGAATGCTTCGGGACCAAAGTTGTTAGACATTGGCCTTAACCTTATAACTGTTTGCCTTGGCTTTGGTCTTGGCTTTGACAATTTTGGCCTTAGCTTTGATTGTTTTGGCTTTGGCTTTTCAACTTTTCTTTAAACATACAATTAATTTTGTTTAAAAGAGTTATTTTAGTTTACTCGAAAGCTTTAGAACTTAATTTTGTGGTTTATGTCACTCTTTAAATTGCCGTTTTTGATGAGCCATTTTGAATTTATTACATCTATATACTAAGTTACGTGATATATCTTAACGTTTTTTATTAGTTAAAACATTTCAAAACTTAAAAAAAGATTTAAACACATGATTTTTTCTTAAAAGTAAAAACAGAATTTTATAGGTTTTTTGAATTAAAATAACTTTTATTATATTTAAGTTATAATTTATTATAAAGTATTTTTTTAAATTTATTTATAATGTTTTTATTTAACTTGTCTAATAAAGTTTAATACAGTTGTTTTTAATATTTAATAGAGTTTTTTTTTAATAATTTTATTTATAAAATTCGTTTTTGAGCCAATATGCAATAGTTTAATTTGATAGTTCGGTCACGAAAACAACACCAGAAACCATTTTGACATCTACTCAAAGTAGTATTACACCTCAGATTCAAAAGCCCTGAAAAAAAATGCGACAACGAAACGGCAAATAACAACTTTATCTTAAACTTCATATTAAATGAATGTAGTATTACAAACATGAATGAAATTATGATATACAACTAATGAAACTTTAAGCTTTAGTAATTTCGAAAAAAATTTTTTTGGTTTTTTAAATTTTTTTTTAGTTGTCTTTTTAATCTAATGTGTTATGATTTGAAGCAAGAAAAGAAGCTTAAACTACAAATTCTTTTAAAATAAATTCTATTTTAGTTGCCGAGTTTGAAAAAACATTTTGAGGAATAATTACAGCTACTAATGGTTAAAACTATGAAGCGTATCCTAAGGATAAATCTTGTTTTTAATGTTTTAATAAAAATCATTTTAGTAAATTTTTATTGTTATATTATGCTTTTCTTAAGTTTTTTCTGATTACTAAGTTACATTTAGAATTCCTTACGTTCTTATTACAGTGCACCGTGGACAAACATTTAACTTGGAAATTTACACCTCCTTCTTTACCGACATTAGTTATGCTTAATCCGGCTTTTACAGAAACGTTTTTTTCGGTCAAATTTTGTGCCCCAATTTTTGTATTGTACAATATTGTATTGTACATTGCACATAACTAAAGTGGTACTTGTATAAAAAACTTAACCTCTTTGTTTCTTACCATTTAAACATTTTATTTTGAAACAATAATGGTACACATGTTAAAGGAAAAAAAGCAAAAGAAGTTTCATTAACACTTTTTTGCACCCATCAGTCACAAAAGGATTACTTTACTGTAGCTTAAGTTCGGGAAGAATTGCTTTTCTCATAACTTTGGTTTTAACTTGTATGGAAGCAGATTGCACAACTATAAACATGACAAAAAAATTATTTGTGTCTGCTATTTAGAGTAGAAAAAATATTATATAAAAAAGATCACAATCTTCAAGATTCTTTTAAAATTTTTTTGTTAATACTTTCAATTAAAAGTGAAGTTTATATGGATGATACTAGAAGCAGATATTAGTTTAAAAAATGGAAATGGTATTGGCAAGTTAATTGTTGCAGAAATGAAAAAGCCTCAGGCGAGATAAAATTAATAATCTACAAAATGCTAGATATGCTGCTCAGCAAGCAGCAAATACTTTTAACTGAAATGAGGAGGAAAGAAAAGGGCAAGATAGATGTCACTATAATCTCCCTTTACATAATAAAGTTGCGGTTGTGTTTGTTGGTGAAGATGGTGTTCCACCTGCTTTCAGGAAAGTTGTTATTTTCCCAAGAGGTCATCCTCTTAAAATTATATCAAGTATGTCTGCCAAATTAGAGCCTATGGTTTATTCTCTAATTTTTCCAAGGGGTGATGCTGGTTGGCATAATCAATTGGTTCACAACCCTGAACGTGCTACATTGATTAAAAATCATGTTACATTATCTCAGTATTACAGTTATAAACTTTTAGTTGGAGAGTTAACCTAAACAAAATGAGAAGCGAGCAGTGTGATGCCTTACACAAACATGTAAAAAACATTGGAAATGATCACAGACCAGGAGGTGTTGTAGTTTTGCCATCAACTTATGTAGTATCTCCACGTCTTTATTTTGGCTGATTATAAAAAGACATAACAAGTCATAAAAAAGACGCCTTTTATTCGTCTAAAGATGTCTTTTTTCCCACTGGGTATTTTATATTTCTCTGTATATGAATATATAAATTTTTTTTTAATATTTATATACACATACTCTTGAATTCCTTTTTTTTTAATTACTTTGGAGTAAAATATATTGACTGATATTGCTTCATTTTTCACACTTAGATTATGTATTGTTGTCTAGATTCTTTGTTAAATTACAATTTATTGATGTAAATAAATTTTATCAAAAATAAAAATAAGTTTATTTGCATCAATAAGGAGGCGTGAACTTCCTATTAAGTGTTTATCTGCGGTGCTCTGTGATAAGACCTTAAGGACTTCTTGGAGCACCTAAAATAAAATTGAAAAAAAAAAAGTTGTTGAAATATAAAAAATGTTGCTCGGCGAGCAGAAAACTAACTTGCTAGAATTCAGTGTCAAGCTGTAAAAATTTTAAACACTTTAAAACAATTTAAATCAAATAATTTTGTTTACTCTTAGATAAGAGTTAAAAGGGAATTGGTACATGGAGCATCAATAAAACTTATATAATTACTTTTTAGTTAAAAAAGAGTAATTGTATAAGTTTTATTAATACAACAACTGATAATGACAATGTATATAAAATATTTTATGAGCTGCTTGCTATTTTATGATATATTTGTTCAATGTTGTAATCAATAAAATCTTTTTATTTCAAGTATTTTAGTTGATAAAATATCTTATTAATTTGTAGTGTTATACGTTATTACGTTATTTACTACGTTAAGTTGTCTAGCCTTTATATAATCTTTTCTTTTTTTAATTACTTTGGAGAGACATAGTAATGTGTGCTTACAATTATGCTAAACATCTTATGCTATGCGCTTTTGTTACAAATATCTTATGCTATACGCTATTGTGTTTTGTGTTGATAGAACTGGGCTATTACAGCAATTTTAAGTCTTTATATCTTCATTCTAACAACAATAAAATGCAAATAATACTTTGTAATGAAAAATTGTAATTATTTTTCGTTCCTTTTTTTAGGCATTGGAAATCTTTACTTGATTCTTTTTATGGTACCTGCTGTGTTGTAACAGATTTTAAGAATAACTTAAATGATGTTAACGTAGTGTTTTTTTGTTGTTAACTGTAAGCAATGAATTAATTACTAATAACCCGTATTACAGGTTACTTACTGTTAGCTTACTACTAATCTCTATATATTATTGACAAACTTAATAGTTTTAATAGTAGTCCCTTGGAGCGTATTTGACACGAAACCCTTGACAGCCATTGCAACCGAAGTATTGGCAATGATATATTAAAAATAACTAGATGTCTAACTTCCGCGTATTTTTTGAAGCAAAAATCAGCCATTATGGGGGGCAAAAATAAATAGTAAATCACGGTTGTTTGGATCAAATAATATTTAATATTCAAAAATTAGAAATCATGGTTAACTCTTGTTCAGCAGCAGGTTGCACAAGTGGAGCAATGAAAAACAACAACAGAGTATTTCATAAATTTCCAATTAGTAATAGCGAACTCTGTAAAAAGTGGGTTGTTGCTATAAAACGTGAAACATTCCTACTGAGCACAGTTGCACTTGTAGTGATCACTTTTTACCTTCAGATTACAATATACCTGATTTTAATAACAAACCGCAATTAAAACTTTTTTCTATGCCATCTATTACTATTGATTCAAAACCAAAAGTCAAAAGAAAGTTAGGTTCTATATCGCCACAAACAAATAAAAAGAGACTCATTTAAAAAATTTTAGAAACAGGCAGTCACCATTACATCGATTTCTATTCGGATATAAATGATAACAGTAATGTTGCTGCTAATATTAACACAACTTATATTTTCACAAAAAATATTGGTAATACTTTTTGTGAAAACTTTAGTGGATTGACTTTTGATATTATAAAAAATCAGTTTAAAAACAATACCTCACTTCCTAAAGGGCATAGGTATACTGATGAAATTAAAAAATTTGCAATAACTCTGCATTTTTACTCACCTAAAGCATAAAATTTTCTACGGCCTATACTCCATTTACTTGCTTCAAGCTCTTTAGCCAACTGGACTTCTTTTGTAGATTGTAAAACTGTTTTTTTTAAAGATGCTTTAAGTTATATTAATATAAAAGCAGTGGCTGATATTAGTTATAAAGATTGTGCATTAATTACAGATGCAATGGTAATCAAAACATCAGTTCTAAGCAATAAAAAGGCAGGTCGATTCATAGGCTTTACAGATTATGGAAAAGATATTGTCGCAATTGAACCAGATACACCAGCTACAGAAGCATTGGTATTTATGCTGGTAGGATTACGAGGTCATTGGAAAACACTTATTGGCCTTATGCTGTGTAGTAAAATAACAACTGAAAACCTTTCATGTCTTATTAAAAAAGCATTAACAATTTCTTCTGATAAAAAAATTAATGTAGTAAAATTACATTTGATGGTGTAAGTGTTAACTATAATTCTGTTGCATCACTAGGATGTACATTTGGGAAAAGACTAGAAAAAATTAATGGACAATTTACTTTTGAAGGCTATAATCACTACTTGTATGTAATCCCTGACCCAAGCCATTTGCTAAAATTAACTAAAAATGTGTTATGTGATTTAGAGCGACTTAAGGACTGTAATTTTTAAATAGCTCTGGATTTATTGTAAGAAGATAATTATAAGATAACATGTTCTGTGTGTGCAAACTCACACAAAACAATTTTGTGGAATATTCTTATAGAGCATCAGTTCTTTCATTGATTAACATAAAAAATAGGAATGTGCTTATTGTTCCAAAAAATGGTGTTATACAAATTATAATAGTATACGAGAGCGTTTTCAAAATTTATGTCAGCAATGACAATTTCAAAAAACCAAAAATGAATGTGAAGCGAAATCTTAAACTGAAAATGATTTATGCAGTTAATAAAATTATTATTGAAAAACATTTTTTTTAAACACCTAAATGAACACGATGCTGACCATGAAACTGTTACCGAAGACATGCATTGCACACAACTAATAAAAATGTTAGCAAATGACTTTTTTACAATCAGACTGCAAAGATATGGCCAATTATATACAGAAAAGTTGGTCTATATATATATAATGAAAATATTATAAATAAAAATATTAAATTAAGTTTTATTAACTGTTACTTTTCTTGATTTGTTGTTTATATTGAAAAACTTGCTTTTCAAAGGAAAGATATTCTTTATATACCTGAATACCTATGGAGCTTATTTTGTGTTGAAAACCTTACTAGATTATAACATAACATTGAATTAAATTTATTTAATTGACTATAAATCAATTATAGAAAAAAGTAATAATGATTTTTATGATAACAAGAAGTATTTAACCATAAATAAAATTCTAACATTTCTAAAAGGAACCTCTAAGTTGTGTCACACAGAACTTAGTTAATAGTCAAGACAGTTTTATTAAATGTTTCATTACAAGTCTTAACTCTGTTTACCTTGCAGTTATGTTATAAAACCTCCTAGCATTACTACAGAGGGTAATTAATGACTAACAGGTGCATAAAATGTTAATAGATTAAAGATTAAAATCCAACTAAATCTAAGATTTTAGCTGAATGTTAAATTTTAAAATCATTCAAACTTAAATTTTAAAATAAAAAAAATTGAATTAAGTATGATTTTGAAATGTTTAAAATATTTCCTCCTTCTCTTAAGATATTGACGCTAAATCACAAATTGCAATGATTTAACTACATATGTAATTTTTTACAACAAATTAATTAGGAATAAGGGCAGCGGGTGTGCGTGTATTGACTAAATAGACGCAGCGTAGAGTATGTACATAGACTTATGGCTTTGGTTTATGTCTGTCTGTCCCCAAACCTTTGATCGCAAAATACTAAATTTGTAAAATCATTGTGAGTGGGATTTGATTTAAAAATGTGTGATAATCTAGATTGGTAACTTTGTACTTGTATTGACACATTTGGTGAGCCATAGACTAGGCCGGATTAAGGTTCTTGGGGGCCGAATGCTGAAAAATATTTACGGCCCCATTCCTAAAAAAATGAATGAAGAAAAAGCATATATATGCAATATGTATAGAATTTATATAGAAACTATTATACACTTTGAAATTGTGGGCCCTACTAGTCCACCAATTTTTATATTCCGGCCGCCTCTTAGGAGCGCTAGTTATTCAGACATTGCCTATCGACAAAAACTCTTTCGTTCAATTTCTTTGTCAATTTTATTACCAGTTTCTGCAAACCTGTAATAAACTTGGTTGCCCTCTGGATTTTTTCTACCCTATTGCGACATCTTTTTGTATTAGTAACCTATGTACTGACTAAAGTATATACAAGATTTTAAAAACTTATTACAAAAAAAAAAAAAACGTTAAGAGTTGGACCTCAAGTCTTTAGCATGCGAGGAATTGCTTTATCCTCTCGGCCACGAACAGTTTTTGAACTATAAGTAAATTAAATTTATTTTTACTAAGTAAAAGTAAAAAAAATAGACTTTCAAAAGACTATTACTAAGTCGGACAAATTTTAAGTTCCCCTTGAACTTTCTATACCTACCGAGAGTCAGATGTCAGACTATAATATTCCCGACTTAACGGGGTTCTACAGTACTTATTTTCTAGCTTATATGTAAACTGATAAAATATATAAGAAATTTTAATTATTTATTCATTTTGTTCATATAATTACCTAATTCATTAATATAATGTAAGTAATAAATCATCAAGTTGATCCGCAAATATTTTACAAGTAAAAGAAAACTGGTATAGTAAAGTGTATAGTAACTTTTAGTATACCAAGTATACGGTAAAGTATACGGTAAACTTACTATACCGTATACTGTAACCAGCGATCCCATATGCGGGAAAAAAAATAATTAAAAATTGCATCTGTCTCTGCGCTATTTGTATGCACGTATTTCTCATATCATTAAAATACGAAAGTATTTAAGTAATAGGGTAGAACGGGGGTAGTTAAACAATATTTACAAAATCTAACAGATCTCATGAACGTTGAATGAGAAGAAGGTGCGTCGGATTTACATTACTTTTTTCAATATTTAAAAGATAATTCAACCTGCTAAAAATCTGTTAGAAAAAAAACTATTGTTTTTGATTTTCTTTTTAGAAAAGATATTGCCTAAAATTTGCGGAGCTGCTCAACTTACCCCAGTGGGGTAAGTTGAGCAATAGTGTTATGTAAGTTGAGCAATCAACTAAAAAATTAAACAGTAAGAAAGTGTCATAAAAATATAAAAATATTATTTTATACAAATATCTTGAACTTTGAAGCTCGATATAAAAATTACTAATTGTAAAAATATATATATTCAATGTACGGCTGAATTATTTCTTATCAAATGTGTTTCTCAGTGTTCTATAGCTATTTACTTTTTTCAAAGCTGCTCAACTTAACTCTGCTAAACTAGGTGACACATTAGTTAGGTTTTAAAGAGAACAATAAGACTTAGGAAAAACGGCTAATTTTAATTCAAAGTCCGATATGTCAGATAATTATCAATAAATTGGAAAAATATCAACACCTAAGCGATAACAGTTAAAAAAATTTATAAGCATCCAAGAGAAAATAGTGAAAATTTCTTTTACTTTTTTGGTCCAAAATTAAAAGAAGTGCCCGTGTTTAACTTAACTGCTTTTCCGCAATCTTTTGTCGCGCATTGTGTTAACATTCTAATTCTCTAACTTTCATCCATTAGATGTTTTGTCATGTGATAGTTTTTGAGATTTTAATTGCAAAACTTACTCTTATGCTCGACTAGCCCCGCTCTACCCTATAATAAATTAATAAATTAGTAGTTTTAACTAATATATATATATTTTAATGTAGGTGACCCTTGTTGACTCTTTTTTGGAGAATTTTATCATGCTCTTTTGCTTTTCCACCCTGCTGAATTAGAAAGCCAAAAGAACATGATGCTAAGATAATGAGGCACCACAACATACATAATATTAAAGCTATATAGTTGATTCTATCAGTCCGATTTTTTAAAGTCATTTCCAAGAAACTACAGTTTTTTCGCAATGGCTTGTGGGTTGATACGGACTGCTAAAACAGTTTGTTGTAACAACCAATCATTTATTGTTTCTTATATTGATGTCTTCATTACTTTAAAAATCGTTGTTTTAGATATAAACATTGTAATTAAGCTTTATTAGAGGTTAGCAAGATTTTCCCGTGGTAACACGATAAAGCTAAGAGAACTTAATTAAAGGTATGCATTAACTTTTCTACTATCATTACTATTAGGTATGCGTGACTGTATATCTATTATAAATTACGTACTCAGGGTTAGATATATTAATTAGCATATTAATAATTCTAATTTGAATTACCATTTTTGCTATTTCTGCAGATATAGCAAAATTACTATATCTGCAAATATAATAAAAGTGCAATATCTGCAGATATAGCTTGAGATTTCACACAGAGGCTGTTAAAATTGAAGTACCAATTGAAGCATTAATGTATAGTAGGTTTAATGTTAAGCAAATTATAAAAAAATTATATTAAAGATCTTTAAAGCAAACAATCTTGCTTAGCTTAAAGCTAAAAGAATGCTGAAAACTCTCAATATCTTTTAAATACCTAACATACTTTTATATTATTGAAAAAACATAAAAAAATTGATATAGTATATATATTTATAAAACATTAATATATTGCATCCTAAGTGTAATTCGACTTGTAAATGGTTTTCACCTTTTTTCTACTTTAGATGACTGATCGCAAAGCTGTTGTTAAAAATGCTGATATGTCAGAAGATATGCAACAAGATGCAATAGAATGTGCAACAAATGCTATGGAAAAATTTAATATAGAAAAAGATATTGCAGCTTTTATTAAGAAAGAGTTTGATAAAAAATACAACCCTACTTGGCACTGTATTGTTGGAAGAAATTTCGGTTCATATGTTACACATGAAACCAAACATTTCATATATTTTTATATTGGACAAGTTGCCATTCTTCTTTTTAAATCAGGATAAATTATTGTTTCTAATCAATTGAACATAAAAATTTAAATTATTTGACGATTCATTATACATATTTTTACAGCAGCATAACTTTGAAAGTAAAATGGATGAGCAAACCGTGTAAAGTTACTCAATAGACTTTTTGGATTGGTGAGCTTAAAAAGATCTTTAGCTTGTGGTTATGTAAACCATTTATTTTTAAAAATGCTTCAAATAAATTGTATAAAATCAAAACCCTGAAAATTTAAATTCTCTAATAATTCCCAATCCATATTTACAGATGCAAAACTTCAACGTTTAGCTCGTGGTTTGTGTTGTGAGCATTTTTAAAGATAATAGTTTATTACTTGAGATATTTTTAAGAATTGTATTAAGCATGTACAGCAAAAATTTTACCAAGATTTTTTAGTATGATCTACAGTAGCTGAACTATAGTAAATATATATATGCATTCTATATTTTGCTTTGTAACTCGTAAGATATAAGAACATAATTTTAACCAAATGTATATACAAATATTTAAATGTTAAAACTGATAAGCTAAAAATTGAATATAAAGTAGCTCTTGACTCAAGTTTTAAAGCATTAAATTCATACATTTGTCTTTCCTTCCATTTTGTTATGATTTTTTTAAATAGTACTTTACATAGGTCATAAACACATAAAAGAGCAGTTCGGTCGAGTTATAAAATTTACGATGCATTTTCTTAAATTTGTTATGTCGAATTGTCAGAAAGGCGACGCACAATAAAATTACACTCTTGTAACTTTGTTTATATACTCAACTCTATTACAAAGAAAAGTAATGATTATAGAAAATTAAGTTAAAAATAAGATGAAGAACATCGAAACTTAGATATTGCGACCCGTGCCCCTTATAAGGCAATCATTTAGACATAATAACCAATTTCCTAGAGAAACAATCGTACGGTTGAGTATTAAAAACTGACATGAGAGTAAGTAGGGAAAAAATTGTAAAGCAATTTTTCCCCTACCTACCCTTATGTGAGTGTAAGAAAAGACTAAAATGTTACATGTGCTTGAAATTCTGTATCTGCGACGCCTGATACGCCTTTTCATTAAAGATTAACCATTGATAAATTATATAAACTAGATGTCTAGCTTGTAGGACGATTGGACGATGAATAAAGTCGCATTTTCTGGTTATAAATATAGTCCGGTATTTGTAAAAAAGGCAAAAGTAGAAGCCGATGTGTGGAATTAAAGTTAAAAATGGAAATCCCTTTCTAATCGAATCTAAATGAATTTAGGAAACGTAAATTATTATTTTACAAGTATTCTAATAATATATATATATATATATGTGTGTATGTATATATATATATATTCAATCGTATCAATAAAAATTAACAAATGCTCATCGTAAATAAATTGAATTTGGTTAGGTGTCACTGATATAGTTACAAACTAGTCAATGGAGTGACATCTAAAAACATAAATAAGAGAGAGAAAAAAAGAAAAGATTGTTAAACAAATACTAATGAAATATGTAATAATTATAGTAATAATACAAAATAATAACAATAATATTAAAGTATCAATGATATTAAGAAAAATTATAATACAATATAAATTGTATGTACATTATTAGGGATGGTAAAAATCCCGGAAATTTTCAATTTCGGGATTGAGAAATTTGTCCCCGAGGAATCCCGGGATTGAAGAGAAAAAAGCACTACTAAAAACGCTACGAATACTTTTTAAGTACTCATCAAACACTTAAAAATGATTAGTTTAGTGATAATATAACTAAAATATGTAATACATTTATAAACCTAAAATTAAGTTACAAACATGTTTTAATTTAATTATGTTATATTAAAACTTGTCTAAGACTTTTAAAAATTAATGAACCTAAGTACTTTAAATTATAAAATAATACCTTAAAATCGTAACAATCGTAAGTAAAAATAATAATTAGAAAAATATATAAATATGCATGACTTCATTAATTAAACAGGCGCTAAGGAAATTTTGTTAACTTTATTTAAACTGACTTAAAACTAACTTCTTTAAACTGACTTAAAAAAAGCTTTCATAAATTGTATATTTGAAATTAAAATTAATGGAATAAAAATGGAAAAAAAATTAAAATAACTTTAATAGAAATCATTTTTTCAATCAATTTCTTCAGTTATTTATTCGAAAAATTATTGGGAGGGGGGTGCCCCTGCTGCCCACCTGGTTGCTACGGACCTGAGGTATACCTTCTATTAAAGTTTTTTTCTATCAAAGTTAATAGAAAAAAACTTTAATAGAAGGTATATCTTCTATTAAAAACTTTAATTAAAAACACATGCTCTTTCTACTAGTAAGCGCTAAAATTTTTAGTTCAGAAAATTTGTTTTAGATATCAGATCTCATTGAATTTAGATATCAGATCTTATTGAAAACGTCATTACTCTAATAGATGCGCGTTGTTAACTAGCAATGCTATTGAGTAAAAAATAACTTTTTTGACCGCCAAACAATACAACAATAGCAAAGGTGAGAAAAGAATAAAGAAGAATAAATCATTCAAATTGTTTGGATAGGAACATAGTAATAAATTAGAGAAAGCACACTGATAGCTCGTGAAAGTTTTTTTAAGATGATACAGTTGATTATACCAAGATAGGTTTTCATCAAGATATACTCCAAAGTATAATATATCATTTACTAATACGATAACACATTGGCTGAAATAGTTTATAGGGTTGAGTGTTTTGGGTGCTTCTTTTCAGCAATATAACTTTAGAGAGAGTAACAACGCAACGTCGGCGGATAACATCTGTAATAATTCTAAACTCTAGTAGCGGTTGAATAAAAAATTGTTTTGAATCCAGGCTTCAAGTGCTCAGTAGAAATCAAACCTAGAGCCACGTTTTTTCATTAAATTTAATAAAGTCCTCCTATATGAAGTACTTTAAATTTAAAAAAATGAGAGAAACATTTTTTAATTTTTTTTTTTTTTTTTAGGTGCCCCAAGAAGTCCTTGCGGTCTTATTACAGAGCACTTCGGAAGAGCATTTAATCGGAAGTTCACGCCTCCTTCCCAACCGATGTCGCAAAACATGCCCAGAGGTTGGGTTTGAACCACGGATCTTACGTTTTTGAGGCAAGTGCATTGCACTGCACCACGGCTGCTCATTCTATTGACAATCAAGTAAAAAAATTATGTTTTTAACTGTCAATTTGACTAAAATTGTATAATATATTTACTATAAGATTGAACGCTCCCGGGTGGGCTTATTAATTCTTGCAATTGGGAACCGCTCGTAAATTAAAAATCCAATACATACGTGCTCAACGCAGTTAAGGCGAATTAATAAAACTTTAATATAAAATTAAAAAAAACAACTTATTTTTGACAATCTAGGTTTTTAAATGAAATAAAATAAATGTTGTTTTATTTTTGTTTAATACAACTTCTTCTGCTTGTATTTAAAAAAAAGTTTCTTAAAGATTTTTTTTTTTAATTCAGAATTAAAAGAATGTTATAAAGTCTCTTTTTGAACCTTTTTTTCCTCAATTGGTTTGCTTCAAATTGTTTTAAATAAAATTCAAAAACGTCTTTAAATTGGACATGAATACTATAAGTGGTCAAATGCTTAAATTGCAAATCAAATTTGGATGCATATTCATAGATTTTCAGCTGCATAAATACAAACAACAATACAAAAAACTATGAAACATTAAAAAAAATACCATCAAGAGCCAAATTGTTTTTTTTTTTTTCTGAATGAGAGGTATTTATGAGCAAAATCAAAATAAATTGAAACTATTTTATTGCAAAGAGAGCTTCACGAAATGAAACGTTAAATTTTAATAGCTTGAAGAGTAGTTTGAAAAAATTCTTGCTGAGTAATTATTATTTCTTAAATTGTTTCTATTTTTCTATTTTTATCTTCTACTTTTTATGTTTATGTGTTTATTACAATTGTACATAAAACAAAAAATATTAGAAGTATTAAGCTTATATATATTAGGAATTTTCATTTCAAATAAAAGAGGATTTGGCATAAGTAAACCTGTTTTTAAAAATGACCAGACGAGCAACGTGTTTCTGTTGACGATAAAGAGAATCCAGTTTAGATTTATTGGCATTACATTAAACAATACTTGCATAGTTTAAATGTCAATAGATAAATAAGAATATAACTGAGTTAGACTACGCTTGTTTAAAACACGTTTTAGCTTTATAAGCTTTGTTCATCAAGCATTTTTTCTTATACTTTTAGCAACTATATTACACAAGACTTCGATGTGATATTTTGAACTAAAGTTTTAATTGACATATATACCCGAGGTTTTTTACTTATTACTCCCCTAATTTGAATTTTATCAATAAAAAAAATACAGGTATATTGCAAAGCTGCAGTTTTATTTTAGAAACTGGTTAAAATATTGTCCATTTAGTTTTTTTAACACCCAGTGAAAATTTATTTATTTTAAACCAATCAGAAATTTTTTTAAATCAATATTCATCTTTTAGAACAATCAGATAAATAGAAGTGTCATCAACAAACTTTCATCAAAATTGAGGTTTTTATGTAGATCATTAACGCATTCGAGAAAGAAAAGTGGTCCGAGTATAAAGCTCTGGGAAACTCCACAGCTTTTGTTTAATAAATGAGAGGGCTCAGTTTTATGACTATTTACAAAATATTTTTAGTTGCTTAATTAACTTTTAAGTAACATTAAAATTATTTTTTTTATAAATTCATGATATGCAACTTTTTTAAACAGTATTTTATAATCAATTGTATCAAAAGCTTTTAATAATCTATGAAAACTTATATTATATATTAGGAATTTTAAAAAAATTTAGCAATACTTGAGTAGTTTTGAATTTTGAATACACATTGATTGACATTTACTATTTTATTTAAATAAAAGTGTTAAAAAAATACGTGATATAAAACTCTCTCAAAAACATTAAAATAACAAACAGACAAAATAGAGATTGGAAGATAATTTGTAACATTGGCTGCATTACCTACTTTGAAAATTGATATGACATAGGCTATTTTTAGATGGTTTGGAAAAATTTCCTGTTTTGTTGTGCAATTTAAAACTTTATATAGTTTATCTTTTAAGAGCTCACATGAGTCAATGACAACATTGATGCCATCATAATCGACTAATTTAAATTGTTCAAATCTTCAAAGGACAATTTAAAAGATTTTGAAATTGTATGTTTTGTTAGTCATATAAAAAACTTTTTTTAGCTAGATTCAGGTCAACTGATACAAAAACTTGTTTAAATTATCACATATTATAGTTGGATTATAGGAAAATTCATCATTAAAGTTTCTTAAAGTTTCTTAAAGTTTTGGGCATTGCGCACACTTTTTGTTTTCTGAATGCCAGTGCGTTTTCTTAGTATTATAAATTACGTTTATAAACATAATTCAAAACGCACATTAAGCACTTATGAGTGAATATATGCTTTT